ATTACACATATAAGAAAATGGAATAAATAAAAAGCGGTACAACTACATGTAATGCAAAGTTCAGGTTTACACTCGCGTGACTTTCTCGGCATGTCTCGGCACGCTGTCGGGGCATGACACCAGTAATTCACACGATTCAGCGTGCGGATTTTACGAGTACCGTACTGCAACTTGGTGCCGGTAAGTGTGAAATTTTGTGTAGAATTAAGTCGTAAATGAGCAGTTACGATTTGAGCCGGCGGCGTGCATAGGTTATCTGAATTCGGTCGGACTCGCAGAATTCCGTGAGTTACGACAGTTGGAATTACTGTAATGTCTTACTATAGTGTTGTGGTTAGTGGAATTGCCGGTGTGGCCGCAGTTATATTTTCCCACGGCTATCTGCACTCAGGCGGAATACAGTTATCCGGGACGCGCGTACAGTATCTCGGAGCAGCTTGGCTTGAATCGACCATTTTACGACACCGGTATTGCAACGGCATCCAAAATGCATTTAGGGAGCCCGTACATTTCAATGATCCGACACCGCGCAAGCACTTAAACCCAACCGGCGACTACTGTCTGCGACTGACCATTCAAAGGTCACCGCCACACGTCCGGCTGCCTGAAACTATCCACTTGTGACGTACTTATGACAACTGCCTTGTCTCCGACTCGAATTAGGAGTACATACAGTAGTATATTTTATGCATCAGCGCGATTTGGCGATATGCTGATGTTATACAGTTTTATTAACTACATATGCATCGTTTCACGAGCAACTCTCAGCCGATTACTTTAATATTCTTCGATTACTTCGAGTACTTGTACCAGAGTAAACACTTGGCTTTGCTAAGTAAAATTTGCAGGTGCGTATTTGCTGTCGATACTTGGTTGGTGTTAAAAAATTCATAGAATATCTTCATCTTCTACAGACCTAACTTATCAACGTGTACTTACATCAGAACAAAATCGACAGCAAAGATTTCCTGCCACAAATTTCCAAGTGCATCAAACAAACACTACAAAAAGTGTGAATCCCCACATTTTTAAACTTTTTGTATTCTCTCGAGGCTGAGACTGAACTTTCATGCTGAGTTGTATTTCTTCATATAATACCTAAATCGTTTCTAAATTTAGCTAATCAATGTGACCAAGAAAACGTTTTTCATATTTATAACCAATCAGTTTAAAACTAAAATGTGGAGCGAAACGTTTTGATTGCTTTTTTTGCCGGTCGCGGATACTTGTCGACGTTGTCGTCATCCTGTCACTTGTGTGCAATTGTTTTTTTTCCTGCCAACAGAATATTGGCATTAGCTGGTGTTGGTTTGCGAAAAGCTACGAAAAGCTACCCCAAGAAACAAAGCTGCATTAGCTGGTGTTGGTTTGCGAAAAGCTACCCTAAATCGAGAAGTCACAAATGATGTTCTGTAAAATTGTGTCAAAATTGTGGTGGCGCACACTTTGTAATTTTGTTGTTGTTGAACCATAGGTACATGTGGCCTATGTATAATTCTACATACGTACAAGCCGGTCCGGAGTTAGAGCACGATAGAGAACAGCGAACAATGTAAATTCATGAGTTGCGCCAATTGTAGTGCAGTGGCTATCGTCTAAGCGCTAACATAGCGCTTATTATGCATTAGCTGTACCTTTACGTGCTCCAACTCCGGACCGGCTTGTGCATAAGTAGAAGTTCCCATTGAAGTATATTATCTTACTGAACTACTGATGTATAGTACATACAGCTGAATGAAACAATGAAGGTACTCGTATTGGTAATTCATAATTAATAGTATTTCAATGTGTATCCTTGTTATTTGAAAACAGGAAATAAGTGATTAATAATCTTGTTTATTTTGCTTAATTAAATCATGCGTAAAAACGCTGATCATGAATTAGTGCGAAACGCACTGCAACAATGAAGAGTCCAAATAAAGAGTTATTAAAGTTAACAAAAAACGTAGCTGTTAAAATACCTAGCGAAGATAAAATGACAGGAGATTTATAATTATTGTAAAAAGTAAAGGATTTTGCACGGGTATACTGTGAGTCTGTACGCAGCTGGCGACATCTGCATGCATGGCATATTTTAAAAATAGAGATTGAAGTATAAATATGGTGGTGATTTAAAGCACAGATCAAAAGGAATGGCATGCATGGGATTTTTTATGCACGATGGTATACTAACTATACCGTGTACACACAATTATAATTTTGTGATCGTATTAATTTGTAAGATTAATATGTGTGTTTGTGTTTGTGATTATCATGATGTTTTTAATTGTGCGTGGTAACTGTACGTACATGAGCACGATGTTTAACCACAACGTATACAGATCTGTTCCATCCACGTGTACACATCTGTACGTAATAAGTGAAATTACTGCCGTTGCTCTAGGTGTGCGAGAGGAATGAATGAAAATTCCTAAGAGCACCTTGAGCAACGGCAATGGTTAAATGCTCGTATTACGATCAAACATACAGATCTATCAGCAGATTCGGGTACATACATCGGATACAGGGTACTGCGCATAAAAATGTACATACTCGCTTTTACAAGCGTATATAAGGGGCAAAACTAAGCGTGTTCCACGGTTCCCCTGTACTGCTGCCGTCACCCTCCTGGAGTGTGACGTTACGGCAATACATGTGGTTAAATCTGGCGCGGTACATAAGCGCCATGTTCAGCCACAACGTAAAACTCCAGCCGGGTGACGGCAGCAGTAGCCGGAAACGGTGGAACACGTTTAGTTTTGCCCCCTATATAATGCGCGCTATGTTTCGGAAAGAAAATTTATGCATTTTGAAGAAGATTAAAAGGATGTAGAAGATTAAAAGGAATGGCCTGGTACACGGTGCCAAAAACGTATAAGTTATTAACGCCAACTTACACTTTCTCGCACTTTTCCGCACGTAACGCCGATCTGACGATTACCGTTTCTAAATACAGCCAGGATATTCGGTACTCGTTTCAACGATGTAAACGGTTTCCACAGAATATGCAGTGCATCTGGTGCGAGTGCACCTATTCGAACCGCATCTCGCATCATGGAAATGCAAAAGCGTAAAACAGTTTATGGCCGCAGATCGACGGGCGCTGTACGATATAAGGCTCGTACAGTACGTTGGCACCTGTTGCCTTCTTCCGTCGTCGAACAGTGAACCATCTGTAATTTTTCAGCAGGAATATCTCGATACTGTTCTTGAACATGAATTTTTTTGGAAACACGCTAAAGTATAACAGTTTTAATAAAACTGTAGATGAACTACCTGTAGAAGATCAGCAGGAGAGGTTTTGGAGTCTCTCCCAGAGAGACCTAACAATGGCTGCCATTGGTATGACTGTACTGCTCATTTTCTTTGCGCTAAAAGTGATTGTGAAATGGTGGAAACTAAGGACAGCTCGTTATGAGCTCTTTGGAGAATACGTCCGATGGATCGACGACTCTGTCTGTGGCTTAAAAGTGAGTTACAAAATTAATGATACGTGCCGTAATGTACCATACTTTACTGACTTATATCACTTTTACGCAGTATTTATCCCAAACATAATATTACTGTCAGTGCGCCAGCATGACGAACAGTATTGACCGTAATCAGTTTTATTTAATGGTTTGATTTTGATTGAATAGTGTGATCCGCGGGATATGACCGTTTGTCTGAAACGGCGCCAGGAAACCGCCATTGAGGAAGTTTACCTCGAAATGAACGTTCGCGACATCTAATGATGTAACGGAGCGGAACTGGACACCAGCGAACCAAGCATTCCCAACATACTTATCGCGATGCTTTGCCGGATGGAGTGTTATACAGGGTGGTTTTTGCTCTGAGCGTTCTGGGTGCGGTTCCGTCTCACATATAAGTGCAAAACCAGTTTCTATGTGCAATGCGCATATTATTTTGCTACACCGATGCATTCATATACTGAATCATATACTGATTATTCATATACTGAATCAAGTTTTAAATAATTATAGTATTAGCTGGTATCCTCTTTTCTTCTACATTATGTGTTGGTCTTCTTTCAATCGCAATTACACTTGTTGATTGGTTTCCGGGAAGTGTGTTATCATTGTTTTATAACATTGTCACTACAATGAGATTCCGTCGACATGACTAATATAAGAATGTAACAATGTATCACTAAAATACAATATTGCTATGGCCGTTCTGATTTACGAGTCGATTAGTAGGGAGCACCATACACTACAACGCCTTGCTGTACTACAAAGTGCATACGCGTAATGCTACTGCAAATGATTCGAATCCAAACGTTAACAAACAGCCAAAATCGTTAGCGTCGTCAGGCATTTTGGTACGCATATTCATAGTGTCATATTCATACGAGTAGTGTTTGTGTGTATTATGTTAACGAAGTGGTTAATATGTTAACGTTATGTTATGTTAACGAATGTTAACATAACCATTACATAACGAATTATGTTAACGAAGTGGCTGTGCGCAAGAGTTTCTACTTGCGGTATTATACTGCGGTGTTATTTCTATAATACTTACGATTAGTACTTGCGGTTGTACTACGGTGTTATAATCGTGTCTATACTTATTGTACTGTACGTTTTGTAGCAACCATAATGAAGTACCGATAAAAGATGATAAATGAAAACAAAAGATCAACAACGTATGTTTGTGCAACAACAACAACAACAACATCAAAGATCAATAAGATTTTTTTGCCCAATAAAAGATCAAGTACTGTAAAAGATACTATACTAGCATTAACATAAATGCGCCGGTAAAACTAGGATAGAATATTATATATTCTATAGAATACAAGTAGTCAAGTACCATGTAAAAGATGGTGCCGCTCTACAACAGCGCAGTCTACCACTGGTGCGCCATGGAGCGCCGAGGTATGAAAGCTGGTTCCATAAATTTGGAATTGTCGCTATATTTACGAATGCTCGAAATCATCGAATTTAATCTGGCTTGTACCTTAGACAGCGCAAAATTACTTTGTACAAAGTACAAACAGCAAAGAGCTGAAAGTGAAAAATATACGAAAATACGCGAAAAATTGATATAAAACTGCTCCATGGAGAACCAGTACGAAGAAAACTGAAGAAAAATAGGAATGCAAAGCGAAGAAAAGAAGAAAGGAACAGAGAAAGAAAGAACATAGCGAAAATTCTTCTCGTACTGATGGCGGAAACTCAACCGCACTGTACTAACAATAAGGAAGTAAGTACTGTAATAACTAGCAAGTAATAAGTACGACATCACAGTACGCTGTTGAGCCATATTAACCTATACGGCTCGGTAGTGCTGCTAGGCAATGTTTTTTTAATTGCCACGCGTTGCCGACTGGTTTACAGCAGGCAGCGGGACTACGTAGTTTATTCGATTGATTTTGCACCCCGTTAAGTTTCCCTTCATTTCCTCAATGGCACGGGCGGTGCGTGTGGGTAACGGCGAGCAACCAAGGAAAATTGATCCCTCGAAGGCAGCAAAGCTTATCTCGTGTTCCAAACTTTTCACGGTGAGTATACATGCCCGTGAATTACGTTAAGATCATACTGTTATCATTGTACTCGCATGTCACTGTTTTGGCCGGGCCTGCCGCGACACAGTATACGCCGTACCAGCAATGTTACCGTACAATGAGGCTCCCTCCAGACCTGCCGGCGTCACCCAAGCTAACCAGGGAAGGCGCCTCGCGCAACCTGACATGGGACGCGAATTTAGCATCCAAACGCCCGGTATAGTCGACGGTTACCTGGCGTTCAACTTCAACGCTTCGTGTCCTCAAAAACGACCGCACGGCACGTACGTTCCTGGACTACTGCCGCCGCCAAGGCCAGAGCCAGGCGCCTCTTGCCAAGAAGATCGCCGACCGGAAACTCATCGAAATGGCCGTCCACGTCCATAACATTGCGCGATGGGATCTGGGTCGGATGTACGTGCTCCATACAGCGGATGACCTGCAAGTACCGGCTGAAATAAAAATTAAATTCGTAGTGTACAATTGTTGGGACGTAAAATGCCTGTGCAAAGCTAGAGCAGCGATTAAGTGCGCCCGCCGTCTGATGATACCTTGTAAAGCGCGGCCATACAGACTATCTTCGGGAAATGGTCAGCGTTATCTGACTTTATACCCGCGGAAGGTGCTCTGGTCCGGCAGCGATGAGCGAGGTCCCACGGTAAGCCCCATCTTGGGAACAGTCAAAGATCACGTAAGGGCGCACATTGCGTTCTGCAGCTTGGTGTCGGTGAGCTGCTCATCGGCGGTGGTCAGCCAAAGAACAAATGGCAAATGCGGCAGTTGTACAGCGCGCACAATGACAAATCGTCCCGTTGGCTGACGTAGAAGGGTGCCGCATTACGTATCCACAGTATATGTGCAAACGGACGATACGTTGTCCCAATAAGTACAAGGGATCACGCCTAAAGTAAGGACCTAGCACAAAGTAAAGTAAAGTAAAGTAAAGTAAAGTAAAGTAAAGTAAAGTAAAGTAAAGTAAAGTAAAGTAAAGTAAAGTAAAGTAAAGTAAAGTAAAGTAAAGTAAAGTAAAGTACTATCATACATATATTCAAGGTACTACCGCCTTCGGCGGTAGGCACGTTCGCATAGGACTTACGGTTTAAGATTACTTAACTTTTACTTTGTATTAAGTATTTAATGCACTTGACTGACCTATACTAACTGCTAGCTCCGTGGTAGCAATTACAGTATTAAATTTTGTTTGTGGGTAGGTACGTATATAGTGCCAGTACTTACTCTAAGAACGTCATTGTACTTACTAATTTTTATACTTAAGAAAACTTCGAAATGTTTTCTGGTTAACACCTTTTTAAATAAATCAAAATCCAGAAGGCACACCTATGGAAAATTAGGAATTTTACAAGACTAAGCTTGACTTAACCCAACGCGCGTTGATTTATCCATAATAATCCACGAAATTAATATACAGATAAATTCTCTGTACAGTAATTTAATGATTACTTTGGACACTTAAAGTTTACATCTGGAGGTTCGTTACCCTGGTAATAATGTATTAATGGCTGTTATTAATTTTATTTTAAGGTTTTGCAGTTGTCATTGATTTTCATGTGGCTCATTTAGATTTGACAGTAACTTGAATCAAGACGAAATGAAACTAGACAACAACATATTATTTCGTCAGCCAATGTTTTTGACACACCGATAAGAAATTAATTAAGAAGCAACTGATCCATTATCAAAACTCTTTGTATTTACGATTAGTAATATGTATTAACATCTGACATTAGTAAATTTACTTATAAGAACCGTACCAGTTTCTGTAAGGTTGGTCTGCAGTCAGCACTGCGCTTGTACAGAGGTCAGGTCCCGGGCGGCACGACAGCCATCGCTGTACGCTGAACAACCCATTCGTGGGCACCGGGGTGTGGTCGGAACCAGCACTCCGCGTAGCCGCTGTCCTCAGCGCTCATCCCGTCCAGGGTCATTGGAAAATTTGCCGTAGCCCCAGGACGGTTTTGCACCAACACCCCCGTCGATTGTATGGAGGGGCGTGGGCGACCTTTGGGCCAGAGCGCCCCGTAGGGTTCTTCGGTGGGTGCGTGCAGGAGTTTCCCCTTGTACCGCCAGATGAGATGATTGTAACGATTGATTATCAGGTCGTCGGGTAAGGGCATCCGGACCCCGCAGGGAAGCGTGATGCGCTCGCCTACCCGGACAGACTGCGGAGTCACCGGGACGAAGATCTCGCTGGCATGCCTGACGAGGGCCGCAGCGTATACTGCGTGATGATCGTTGGCTGCGTGCTGGAGGCGGTATCCATGCAGCGTACCGTACCACTTGCCTGCAGCGTCACATTGACGATGGTCAAAGTTTGGGTCGGGCTTGAGAGGGCCAGCCGGTACTGTTGACCGTTCGGTATCCCCGCGGCTATTCGGCCCGCTTCGAAGATGGTCCGATCCTGATGCAGCCAGGTTATGTTGCGCCAGTCTCTGCCGGGAGGGATGTAGCACTCCAACCTAACATCCTCTCCGAGACGGGGACGCCGCAACACTCCGTCCGTGACGGGCGGGGAAGACGGGAAGGTCAACGTCACCCGGTCGTCTTGCCGGTAGGAGCGCAGGCCCTCCTCGATGACATCATTTACTGCAGAGTTCAAACGACTGCTTTAGATGCTGTCTCGCATCGTATAACCTTCTTTACATCAAAAATTAAGCAGATCAATTACGCAGTTGTTCAATCAATAATTAAAACAATGGCATGATTGGAAAACGTACGATTTTTGCTTTGGGAGGGACTACAGGCTCCAGCCAGCCGATGTTCACCGCAGTGCAATAGCAAACATATAATTGCCTTTGCCAGCAGCGCAGGATCATACAGCAGTGAGGTCCTTGTCATTTAATGCAGACGAAAAAACAGCTAAACAGCCGTAGAAATAAGTTTTACTGGCATTCAGGCTGCCAGCTTCTACTGCGCCCGTGGTTGCTCGGGTACTCGCTGCAAGTATAACGGTATGTAAATAAGTATTACAAGTTTGTAAATAAATAACTATGTAAATAAGTTATTACGGTATGCAAGTATTGCGGTATGTAAATAAGCACTTGAATAATCTCATTAAGAATTCTATGTTTATTACAGTACTTACTTTTTTTACATCAAAGTACTGTACTGTATATCTATACTTTGATTGAAAGTACTAACTGTATCGGTGGATGTATACTAAGTCTTAACCTTGTATACGTTGTTACTTGTATACTAGTACTTAACGCGAGTCTTACCTTGTATACTTAACTTCTTACCTGTGTCTCCGGAAACAATATTTTAATACTGGTTTTTATGTCGATCGTCTTGTGAGTAAGTACTGTATCCGTTCAACAACATACAATAATTATTATGTTATAATAAGTATTAGTCTCGTTATGATAAAAACTAACGATAAGTACTTACATATTAATGATAAGTGCAGCAAAGGTTAGCACGGCCACACCTTGTATAACCAGACCGTTATAACAGGTTAACTAGATGTACGGCTAACCGCTTAAGGGATCTGGCCGGTACATAGTACCAAATTCGGGTATATAAACGGGAATATTTTTTTCAAATTTTAAAATGAATTTCAAAAATTTTAAAAATTATTTTAAAATTTGAAAAAAATGGTAGAAAGCTGGTTCGGTACCAAAGCGATCTTCATAGTAGTGCGCGTTTTCGTGCAGAATTTGAAAAGCATCGGTTCATAATGAGACTTTTGGTACACCTCCGAGCGTTTAGCTTTTGGAATTTCATTTCACTAATAACTCTCGAACCGGATGTTGCGCGCACAAACGGTTTTTTCGCCTAAGTATACGAATCCTTTGGCTACAAAATATCATAAAGCAACGCAAAAACGTGTTTGGGAGTGCGCGACAGCGAAAGTTACCGTGGATGTATACAAATTTGGTGCTTTGTACCGGGCCGAATCCCTTAAGGGAAGTGGCCCGGTACATGGTAACAAAATCGTTTACATGCACGAATTCTTTCACTTTCGCGCACTTCCAAACTCTTTTTTCTCTTGTTTTACGACATTCTGTAGCCAGATGATTTGCATACACTGGCGTGAAAGCCGTTTGTGCGCGCAGCATCCGGTTCGGGAGTTATGGCTGTTACAAAATTCCAAAAATGTTTAAATGCATTCAGGTGTACCAAAAGTCTCATTACGGACCGATGTCCTTCAAATTTTGCGCGTAAATGCGCATAGCCATGAAGATCGTTGTACACGATTCTGGTACCATGTACCGGGCCACTTTCCTTAAATGCACATTAATATAACCGCTTGATCAACAGAGCGAGGATGTGTATTGGTATTCTGCAAGCCTTCCAGCTAGCAGATCGGGAAAGAGAACTTTTGTTGTGGGTTTAGCTGTTGCAAAAACAGGATACTAAAAAAAGTGGACATACCTGATGGTAAGTGGTATTTAAAGGCCACGCTTAAACAGCGGGCATGCATTATGCCATATGCGCGCAAATATCGTTACGCCGGCTTACATGTACACCCCGTTCACGCCAAGTCCGACCAGTTGCGTTTTGATTTTTTTTCTAAGTGTGTGCACTATTTATCCTGAATCATTTTCTTGTTTTTGGTAGAACTTTTTCTTGTGCATCTTACGAATATAAAATTTTCAAATTTGCTGCAACGATGCGCCGAGAAACGACGCCCGACGCAAAAGCATTGATCGAGCCGAGCGTGGCACCTATCCCAAAAATTTTAATTCAACTAGCAATTAAGGATCGACTTCCGGCGTTTAAAGCTGAGGTCAGTTTGTGGCCAATCCGAAGGGTGTTTCATGAAAAAAAATCGTGTTTGCCAAAAGCTGACCAAACCTTCAAAACGCGTTGGTGAACAAAACCTTCGATCGCCCCGAACCAAGCCCTGATAAAAAAAAGCGATGGTGGTCAGTGAGATTGCTTTTGTATGAAATGTACTCGCGCGCTTGCATAGCAGACACTTGTACAAATATGGAAGCCCAGAGCTTTGTGGATCGTATTTTGTCGGGAATAGTCAACGGGAACTTCTAACGGTTGTACGGTGACCTTCCGAAGGGTGTCGCCCCGGATTTTGACCACGCCCAAAGTTATACCGCTTCCCTAACCCTGGAGTGGCTTCGAATCACCGGTGTAAAGTGCATCCCGAAGGGCCATTATATAGCTAACTGAGCGCATTTAGTGCCGTTGGACTAAGGCATAAACGGGAATTTTACATGAATTTCAAGTAAAGCGAAGACAACCACGGCATCTGGACTGCAGCGCATTGTTAACGAGGTCTGCACTGCTTTTGGTGCTTCTGTAATTCGAAGTACGCTTGAATCCTGGATACCATGAGTGCAAAAGATGTTGAATAGAATGGATGACCAAGTAAAAATCAAATAACGTCAAATTTATTGATGAGTGGCCGGTGGGAATTTTCTGTTCGGAGAGGTCGGACTTGGCGTGAACGGGGTGTACTTTGACTTCGTTCGCAAACCGATCACTTTGACTTGGGTCAGCACATCGATCACCCATGTTCTCAACATTTTTTTAGAAATTTATGTTCGGATAAATATTTCTTTCGCCATACCGGTTTCTCGCGCTCATTCATTTCTTGAAAGAAAAAAGTTTAGCTAAACAACAACATAGCTAAAGAAAATGCAGATTATGCAGCTGTGTCAGAGCTTTATAGTTAATAGATTCTGGTTTATGTGAGACTAGCAATTTTCGTGGAACTACAGAAGCTGAGTTACTGGCTTAACCGAAAAACAAAACTGTAAAATACCAGAAACGAATCACATTTTTCTAAGGTCAAACACTTTTCACAGGATTTGTAAACGTGGGTGATCGCTGTGCTGACTCGTATAGTCAAAATGATCGGTTTGCGAAAGAAGCCGAAGTATCGTTTTAAATAGCGGGCTTATTTTATCGCTGTATTACATATTACTTTAAGAACAAAAATTTTACAAGAAAGCCCAGACAAACACAGACGATAGCTGAGATGCCGCGCGCACTCGTATTCGGCAAAAATTAATTGGCGGCGGCGGCAGGGAGTGATCGTTTTTGAAGACCAGGGCGAAATTTCTCGTCATCGGCGCAGCACCCAGGAACAGGATCGACATGATGCTTCGGCTCGGGAAATCTACTATAGTACGCGTTACGGTACTGTACGCAGTTCAACAGACGCAAATTAATGCTTCGTATACCAAATAAGTAAGTAAGTATAATAAAATATAAATTGTATCCCACGTACAGTCTGTAGTCTGTATTTTGCAAGTCCTTGAATGCCGCTAAATATCGGGTATCGTGGCTAAATCATACCATCGCGTCTATATCTAGGTATTTCTATCACTGGAAAGTACTTATTTGAAAGCCACTCAGCGACAAAGTTTTTGTCCATAATTTTTACATATTTCTATAGGTAGCAATACTAACACCCCATGGGCCATGCATGATGAATATAAGGGGAAAAACTAGGCGTCTTCCACTGTTCCCCTGTACTGCTGCCGTCACCCGCCTGGAGTGTGACGTTACGGCAATACATATGGTTAAATCTGGCGGGGTACGTAAGCGCCATGTTCAGCCACAACGTCAACCCCAATCGGGTGACGTCAGAGTACAGGGGAACGGTGGAAGATGTTTGGTTTTTCCCCTTATATACGGCTATCAATTACCTACGGGTTAATAACTTAATACGAGTGTTGTGTATTGTATTGCTCCTACTGGGTTGGGTTTGTATGCCGTTAATGACGTTAGCGTTGTTTGCAACGACTGGATGTTCGCTAATCTGGACATGCAAAAGCGGAATTGCTGTCTACTGTATTTTTGAGAGAATTTGTCTTGACTGGAATTTCGATATCAATAATATTGTGATTTGCTAATAAGAACCTCGAGTATAGTACTCGTATAAGCAGCGCTCTTATATCCTCTGCAGATACAAGTAGTAGGTAGTGAAAGCAAAAGGCTTAGTGGTCACCTACCGGAAGCCAGAATTATCGGGATAACCACATCTTCCAGGTTCGTATTTGTGCACGCAGTGAAATTACCGGTGAAAGGTTTTACTACTAGTCTCCAGATTTGGCATAGCACATAGTTCATCATCCTATGTTCCCACTTTATCGGTCTGAGTTTGGTAGGCAGGTCATCTACGGTAGTACGGTAATTGAAGAGCATCAACTTTCGTATAGCATGTAAGCATGCAAAAACACTCATTTTCCCTCAATATTATTTGCCAAAGGTTACTCCACAATGCATACATTGCATAACGAAACAACTTTAGGCCTATAAAAATGCCGTTTCTAATATACTGGGCTAGGCTTCTGCGCCGCTTTGATAAGCTCGCTATAACCGGTGTTGAACTGGTTCAAGCACGTGGTGGAACCGGAGAAATCGCAGACCGGTTTACTACTGGCATGCTGCATAAACGGTATATCCTTGGCCGTGCAGCCCCACTGTCTGATGAGCGGCAGGATGATGTCGTTATCCACGTGATCCTTCTCGGCCTGCGTCCAGCTGGTCGGATTGGAACGGCCGCTGATGGTGGCGAAGGGCGAATCGCAGTTGCCGGTGAAAGGATTAATAATCAGGCAGACGTAGTAAAACTGGTAGTTGTCGTCTTGATACAAGGTCAACGAACGCGCCGGAGCTGAAATTGACAAATATGTGTCAAGACCCCTGTTCGCGGCTTTAGTGCTTAAATTCCGCGATTTTTATTGGTAACGCTTGGCAGAGAAATAAGATTAATAGTTTTTGTGAAAATTTAATGATGTTACTTTTAAAAGAATTATTTTATAATTTGGAGCGCAAAGGTAATTCGATGCGCTCCGTTGATCGGAGCGCTTCGAATTTAGCGGCCATCTCGCAATTTTATTTAGGATTAAGAGAAAATAATGCATCAATAGTTGTATTACGAGTATCATCACATTACATTACGAGTATCTCGTAAGATAATAGTATCATTACAAGTCTTTCGATCTATATAAATAATATTGATTTCGTTAAATTAAATTCAACGCAACTGTTCTACAGTTTTACCGGCTGGCGAGTTGCCGTCTCCGTTGTCGACGGTTAAAAAGCGGAAGCCGACATTCTGCCCGGTGGTAGCAAAATACCCGGTCCACGAGCCATGATTGCACTGCGTGTCGTTGATGGAATTGTACTGGACTAACTCGCACCACACAAAATCCCCCGTGAAATTGGTCATGGGCAGCGGTGCCGGGCCCAGAATATGCCAGAATAACCGCATACCGACGGCTTCCGCCTCCGGGGAGAACATGGACCGGTACACCCACCAAATGCCGGATGCCTGCAGAAATGGTCAATTGGCGCAAAAGTACAAAATGCGACTATCAGATGTTAAAATACAAAACTGCAACAAGCTCATATTTAACAACTGATCGTTCCACGTATAAAGGTCCAAAAAATTGCTAAAGTTAAATTCCCGGTCCATCCACAGCCTATGTATACGAAATTACTGTCCAATTAAAAATGTTTTAATTGTTATTAATGTGGCGTACGAGTGTTGTGCTGTCTGTTCTTTTTTTTTCATTTTACGCCCACATCCTGTTTTCCCAGCGCCAGCATGGCACCGATCGGTGTTAGAGTTCATCGCTGCTTGCACCGCAGCTCATTTCAGTTTTGCCAAGCTAGCGTGCAGTTGCAAACTTTTCTTTAGTCAGAGATATCAGTTAGTCTGCTCATTCAACGAGATCCGTGTTGGTTACTGCCCGTAATAATGACTCGAGGTCAAGCGAATATTAGCCAACCCGGATCCCGGTATAACATACGGCAGCGTGCACCACATCAAGTACCCACGAAGCGAAAGGTCACCAGGAATCCCGATGCTCCAGCCCGGCGGAACATCAGGTCTACCGTGGTCGTTCCTCCTGGATCATCCCTTGGCAATCCCACGCCCACAACACTGGCAGAAATTCATTCCCAACTGGCGGAACTCCAGAGAGAAGTCGCAACAATCCGCAGCTCGACAGCGCAGCAGGGTACCAGCCAACCTGTACTGCAAGTCGACGCCACACGTACACAACGTTCTCTGTCCCCAGCCTCCAACCGCGTCACCACCGCCGACGGCAAGCGCGAAGACAGCGTTATGGCAATCGAAGCGCCCTCTAACGTTCCATCCGTCTTTGCACGTCTCGGCGCCGCGCCGGTGACCATTGGATCAACACCGCCACAGCATCTCCCAGCGGTCTCTCCAAAACTACGGGAGCAACTATTAGACCCCAGCCAATTTGTCGACTTCACTGACCTTTTGCCCCAGAACCGCGTCCCGGCAAAACGCGGCCAAACGGGGACCCGCATGGCACTGGACGAAACCACAGGCGAGTATACCTTTACGTCGGCAGCAAAGAAGGAGCAGATCAATTCCCTGGCCAGCTGGAACCGTGCCTTCTCCGTCTTCATGGCATACCGCACCTTCGTAGAACCAAAACTGACTCTTCCATTGATCAAGTACCTTGACCTCATATCCTTGATGGCGGATCCTGCTCGTGGATACAAACTGGAGCACGTGCTGGAGTACGATATCCAGTTCCGAAATTTTGCAGCTCAGTATCCCGAGGATTTCGACATTTGGACCAGGCGACACGATGATTCCTTCCAGGAGACCATCGGCAATCCGCGCCAGAACATTATTCCGTCGACCACCGGAGGCGGTAATCCAAAGCACAGTCGCGCCAAATGTAACCGCTGTCATCAAGTCGGTCACATAGCGGCAAACTGCAACGAAAACCAGGCCAGCGATCCAACATCCTCCGGAGCTGCAGAGATTTGCCATAAATTTAACCGCGGATTCTGCTCGACGCCCTGCGTGAACGGCCGTAAGCACACTTGCGCCACCTGCGGATCGAGTGCCCACGGAGACTACAGCCACGGCAGAGCGGGCAACTCACACGCACGGGATGACAACGCCAACGAAGCCTGACCTACCTGCTTTGTCTTGGCCATCCTAACCCCCACATCTTTACTAATCCTGTTAACGAAGCGCCATCTACGACCTCGCGAACCGGAACTGGCATTCACGGACCAATCTCAGCGGCTCCAGCTTTCCGGCTTCCGCTTGTTTGGGGTTTTGTTTGGGGTTTGAGGTGCAGGGAAAGGAAACCGGCAAGCGCGCACACCGGCAGGTGCGCAGGCGCGCACATACCAGGTGCGCAAGCGCGTACACACCAGGTGCGCAGCCGGAGCTTCACCGATTCCCAGCCGAGAACTTCCACATGCCCACTTCGCTCTCCCGCCATGGTAAAAGATACATGAGTAGCAACACATTAATGTCCAATTAAAAATGTTTTAATTGTTATTAATGTGGCGTACGAGTGTTGTGCTGTCTGTTCTTTTTTTTTCATTTTACGCCCACATCCTGTTTTCCCAGCGCCAGCATGGCACCGATCGGTGTTAGAGTTCATCGCTGCTTGCACCGCAGCTCATTTCAGTTTTGCCAAGCTAGCGTGCAGTTGCAAACTTTTCTTTACCACCCGCCACACCCGACTTGTTTTGTGTTCTGTTATTTGTCTAAAGCCAAATAAAGGGGGTTTGAGGTGCAGGGAAAGGAAACCGGCAAGCGCGCACACCGGCAGGTGCGCAGGCGCGCACATACCAGGTGCGCAAGCGCGTACACACCAGGTGCGCAGCCGGAGCTTCACCGATTCCCAGCCGAGAACTTCCACATGCCCACTTCGCTCTCCCGCCATGGTAAAAGATACATGAGTAGCAACACATTAAGTAAATGCTAACGGAGCACAACTCCAGCTTATTTAACAGTCAAAATGAAAAACGTGGAAATGAATGCAGATAATGTGGTAACTGTGATACCCGTGTACTGCTTAGTTAAAACAAGTCAGAGTTCAAAACAGTAAAAATACAACCACAATTTTGTGTCGTTAAAATTCTGCGGTGGCTGTACAATACAGTACCTTGTTAGGATCATAAATCAAATTAGACGGCGCAATGGACGGCCAGTTGCAGCTCGAGGCGGTACTGGAGCTCGACGTCGCACTGTAACTAGTTGAACTTGACATTGTTGTTGTCGGCTGGCCTAGATTAATTACCCACAGATTATTAACCTCAATGACTTATTAATTCAGTAGAAAGTGATATTCCTCCTGATACACAGATAAATATAGTATATTATCATTGTGAGTACTAAAGCCGTCCCAATTGGCGTCTACGTATAAAAATTGATTTGCGTACGCGTATAATTACATAATTTACATGAAAAAAATTTCTATGCTGCTGGCTTATACATATATTTTTTCCCCTGTGGCCCAATAACTGTATACAAGCAGTACTACGTGCTAATAAATTTCGGACCTTACATACGAGTAGATACGTATTTTGTACAAGGATTTAGGTAGACTACGTTTGTCGGATATCAGACACTTTCACAAAATTGATCCACGTACCGGACTCCAAAGACAGGAGATTCTCTGCGTTATTCCCCATTAGAAAACTTGATAATATTTTATGAAGTTCGAGCACAAACGTGTACAAAAACTGTCACGTACAGTAATTAATTTTCGAAAAGTTTTGGCCCTTTGGAACGACGCGGAGAATATCGTGTCTCCGGTGTCTGATACGCATATCCATAATGTGAAAATGTCCGGAATGCGAAAAATGTTAATGTATTCGAAAAGTCAAAATTGGGTCCTTTTCCGAGAAAACTGCACGCCTTTCCTGCATACTAACTTGTTGAGGCGTTGGTGGGCGCCACAGCCTGCATGCCTTTAATCAACGAGGTGACACACGGCGGCGGATTAGCCGGGAAGGAGCACGTTGGTTTGGAGGTGTCGTAGATCTGTTTGGGTACACTGTCCACGGTGACGCACAACGGTTGCAGCGCCGTATTAATGAGGCTATCGAGAGCGGCCATGTCGCTGGCCGACAGCTGATCGGGGCGGGTGCGCGTTTCCGCCCAGATAACCGGCGTGTCGCACGTGACGCCATCGGCGTTGGGCTTCTGGCATCCGTACCCGACCATTAGCTTCTGGTAGTCGTGATATAAAATCCAGTAACCAGTCAGACCTAAAAGAAAAGTCAGAATTATGAATTTTTGAAAAGAAAAGTCAGAATTATTACATGGCATGTGCACCGTGTGCCGGTATTACGGTGTATATATACGTATTCGCAATTTCGCATACCAAAATTAACCAAATTTACCCGGCACGGCGTTTACTGAATAACGGTATTTATAAGCATTTGAAAAGATTCATGTTTACCAAATTAATTAATTTCGGCAGTAGCCAGTTCGATGGACAGTCTGCGGCGGTACAGACTAATTAACAATAAAATGCTTTTCGTACGTTTTGATAGCTGGTAGTCTTTCCGCTGCCCAATAAAAGGTTTGATTATTACGTATTATGAATGTTGGTAGTTAACAAGTACTTATAAGCGAAAGCCTTAATGATTTATTGCACTTAACGGATGACGCTGTAGCCATCAGCGGAGACGGCGCCATTGCCGATTTCCTGCCCCGTGACGAGATAGATACCGGTCCAGTATGTATACTGACAGGTTGTATTGGCCGCCGTGCTCCATGCGACCTGCTGGTACAGCTGCACGGCCGAGGTGTTGGTCAGGGGCTCCACGGCGGCCCCGTAACTGGTAATGGTTATCTGCTCGTTGATATTGATAGCCTGCCCGGTTTGCCGGTAGGCATACCAGGTGCCAACACTCTGCAAACGAACACTCATCTCAGGAATAATAATATCCGTAACACGCTGATTTATTCTACTTTTCAACGGCAGTTAAAGTGTTATTTTCCTCGCTGACCTGTGCTGGATTATCTCCACCCGGTGTGGCAATTACCAGAGGATACCGAGGAGAACAGGCTTGTCCCGATGATGATCCGCTTTGCACTGGAAAATTTGTTATTATTATTGTTACTCGAACAACAGCCGAATTTCAAGTGCTCATTACCGATAGTTAGCAATCCAGCTAAAATTACGGGAAAATCCATAATTATCATATCACGGGATAGCCAGATAGCTCAAGAAACTAAAGCACCAATGGACATCGATGCTGCTGTAATGTTTCTTCGAATATTTTCACTGCGATTAACGGACAGCTGCACATTGCACAGTGATGACAACGGCTGAAAAATATCTTTAGGCATTTTTATACACGTCTGCTGATTGAGTATTGCAGGAAACTGTCGATGGGTGGGAACAGGTTTCTGTCAGTGATAAGGTGATCCACCTATGGGGTCAATGAGTAAATGCGTATGTCTCATTACCGTAGAAGGAAGCGATGCCGGTTCAGCTGCTGATAAAGCATTTGCTGATAACCGTTCTGGATAAGACTGAGCCTGACAAAAATGGAAGTGTTTCACCACTCTTTTAAAAATGGCGTTCTAACGCCGTTTTTTCGAAAACGTTTCAGTTTTCGCACTAACCGACACTTCCCAGGTTTTCAAGAATATATACTCCGAACTACCTGAATATCCTAATGTGCATACGTTTTATGACAGGCTTCTTCGGTTCTCGCACTTTTACAGTAGCAATACGATCCATCGCCACGTACATCGAGCTGTATGCATTGGTTTAATACGGTCCTGTACAACACACCATTAATTTTATCCGTAAATGCTCTGATACAACGATACGATCGCACTTGTACTGTAAGTCGTATCGTAAACTCCGTTTGAGAGTTATCGACTACACTCAAACTGCTTTAGGCCATAATTGCAAGAGGTTGGTGATTCCAATTTGTCCAGACATATGTATCTTCTTCAACATCTCTAACCAGCGTGGCGCAATAGAAAAATATAATTATTATCTCCGTTTGCTGGGCATCTGGTGCGTGGATGACAACCTATTAATGATTAATTAATTATTAATACAATGCTCCGCCGTTGTGTCACAACTTACGTGCTAGCCATCCTGGTGATTCTCAGCGTTATCGGTACGTGGCACTATGGGTTGTACATAATGCGCCTGTTAAAACTGCTTGAACTGCTGTCGACATCCACTGAACTTCTCTTCCAGCGCACCCTGCTGATTCAGCCAGATCCGCAAGACAGACATGCTCCACGCATCCCGCAGTGGCAACCCGCCAGGGCGGCGATGATCCAACACAGGTTGGTTAATGCTGCTGATTATTACTGTAGCTTTTATACTGATCGATAACAAAAACGCTCGCTCGATTTTTTACTCGCTGTGCTTAATTCACGTTTCCGTCGGATAACTGCTATGCCCTATAGGTAATTATTTGTACCACCAACAGGGCGCACTGTGCCACTGTGGACCGAAAGGGTTCGACCGGATGATCAGCCAGTTTTATCGTACGTTGTTCGGAATAAAATGTTGTGCGTTGTAGAAAGCGGGCACGTGGTATGGCTACCGGCAAAACGGCGATGTCACCATCAATCAGCAGGTGACGATCACTAACCTTGGCACCACAGTGGAACCGCTGACCAACCTGACCGCCGTCCAGCAGTACCAGCAGTCCACCTGGACGACTACGACCAACAGCACGTGTCAGAATGATTACTGGACGGGGATCTACGTCGTCAACGGCATGGAGATTGCCAACGGTGCCACAACCAGCGACGGATACAGCGTTAACCGTAAGTGGAAACAATATAGGCTTCCGGAATGTGAATTTGTCAACCGGGGACATATTACATTTTATTTCGTCCAGGCATTTGGACGGGTGAGCCTGTCTGCGTGCATATTTTCTAATCAGGCAAATTTATAGAGTAGAAAATGAGCACTTCCGCCAAAGTTTGTGGTATAACGCGCGAACAAACATAAAAACCGGTTTTTTCAAAAAGAAAGCTCTTGTACGTACAGTAACGTACGGGGCTTATACGTACCCTTCCCAGAAGGAACCGGTTTTGAGCAGAATCGCTCGTTTGCGCATGATCCCATAATGTGAGATTTAAAACCTTTTTTGTGTTGTTCGATTTCTCTCTGCTGTAGATCTGAAGGGCAACTCGGTGCTGTACCACGACTATCAGAAACTGATAGTGGAATATGGATGCAAAATACCGAAGAAAGACGGCACCTGCGATACGCCGCTCTTCTGGGCCAAAACACGGACCCGCCCCGATAAACTGTCGGCCAGTGACAAGGCCGCTTTCGACAGCATCATCACCACGGCATTGCAGCCGTACTGCATTACGCTGGCGATGATGCCGCTGCAGTTGTACGATGACTCCAAACCAACCTGCCCCTACCTCGATCCTCCGTCCTGCTTTGCCAGCGTTCTCCAAGGAAACAATGCTACCGTCCCCGCCAATTTTAATGCAGGTGAAATTAATACAACAATGTCTAGTCATTGTGTAAAGTGTCATTGACTTTTAATTATACATTTATATCTTCAACACTTCTAAATCAAGTAATTTATGAGTCGCTTGTTTTCCTAGGCCAGACAGCTACAAGTACCGCCTCCAGCTGCAAATGGCCAATTTATGTGGCGCCCAAATTAACTTACGATCCGCAAACGGTAAGTGCTGAAAAAAACGGATATTAGTATTTATTAGTGTACATTCCGAACGATTACAGATGTACCTAGGTTTTAAATAGGGCGTTTCTGTAAAAACCCCGCAGAAACCGCATAAGATGGCTGCTTTTATGCCTATTATTTTAGACATCCTTTCCCTAACCTTTTTGTACCGTGTTATTTTATAAGCTTTTTTTATATTTTTTTTATAAGTTTATTTACCGTAAGTTTTTTATATCGCGTTATTTTTGTTAAAAATTGACTTATTAGAAACCTTGCTAATGTAGAGTTGCACTGCGCCATCAGCGGTTTGGTAGGCTTTGGTTTTGCTTTTGGGAAAGTGCTTAGTACCTGCTTTATTTTTCTGTACTTTTCTACCAATCATGATGTATTGCCGGTAGGTTGCCGGACTGTGGTATGTTTACCGCGCTGTCTATCTGCCGGAACCAACGTCGGTAGGCATGCAGTATTTTTGGCACATTCTGGGCAGTTCCCTCCTGCCGGAAACCAACTACACCGGCAACTACGCGTGGGCCGAATACACCCAGTACAACGATCCTTCGGACACCTACTGCAATTATGGTTACTGGACCGGAATGCTGGTGACGACCGGACAGAACGTCGGCTTTCGCTTTGTCACCACCGACGCGGGAGATAGCGTCTGTAAGATGGAAAGCTAAGAAAAGCTGATAAACCTAGGAAAACGTTAAATTAACCTAAGAATTAAGAAACCTAAGAAAACCTAAAGAAAACGTTAAAAAACCTAAGAAACCCAGATAGCTTAATAGCGTCTGTCGGAGGCAAAGAACCTAAGAAAAACCAGAGTAATTTAATGGACCTATGCTACCGTGCCGTTGTAAATAATCCACTACGTCCATTAAATCTAATGTTTTCTTGTGCGTGTTGTATGTAGTGCCTCTGCGGTCCATGACGATTTACCAGGATGACAAGTACGAATTCTTCTACGGCTGCAGTACACCGGATCTGCAGATGCAGACCTGCGCGTCGCCCTTCGCCATGATCAGTGCACGCACCGACCCGTCGACATGGTCGCAGAGTGAGAAGGATCACGTGGATAACGACATCATCACACCGCTGATCCAGAGCTACGGGTGTGCTGCCAAGGATATGCGGCTGATGCCGTCGGTGGGCAGTAAACCGGCATGCGCACTCAAGGGCGCCTCATCGTGTCTGAACCAGTTCATCGCCGGTTACAATGAGTTACTTCCTCAAAAACAATCTAGCTATTAGTCCGAACATGTTAGAATTTGTTTGAGAGTTCGTGCAAGCTTCGGGAAATTTAAGCAGCTGAATTTACAACTTTGGTTCGCTACACAGGCATTGCATGTATTTCGTAATTATGGTTAGAAATGAATGTCTCTCAGAATTCGAACAAAGCCTCGGTAATAAGAAATGAGACAGCTATATGCAGTGGATGTTGTTTGAACGTACCGCGTTCCATGCTACGACCATTAACCAATCTGCCTGGAACCTTATGGTGCGTGACTTTCAAAAAACAAATTTCGACTTTCTTCAGGTGTACGTCGCTTCTGCGTAACACAAGTCTGTTGTCTATGGTTAGGCAGATCAAAATAATTATTCTGCCAGAACGACGTACGGAAGTACAGTACCGGAAAAGTTAAGCACTGCGCTAACTGTAAATAAGAAGCTGCACTTGAGCTTCGTTCCTTGGCGTGAAAAGCTTACATTACACTATTCGCCGAAAAGCTGAATGCGTTCGCAAAGTACGACGGCGTTCGCAAAGTACGACGGAGGTTTGCCCCCTCTCCTGCCACGGAATGTGGAATCCTGTTGACCCGCGGAACGATGGTGCACCTCTTTTCTGCCTGGTTGCCGAGAAACTGTTCTGCTTACCGGCGGCGGCAATAGATAGTGGTGGGCCGCTACAGTACAAGTTTTTACGGAAACTGAAGAAGTCCGGTAATGTTTTTATTTTAGCTTTACCTTTACTACAGATATGATAGCTTTGTTGTCACTTTAGTGCTCTCCTGCTGACCAGACTCTGAGCGCCTCGAGGGGTTGTCGGCAAAACGAATAAACGGAACTAACCCATGGGTTACTGGTTAAATTGCTGTTACACAGCTAGCAAACAACGAGTTCCCCGCAAACCGCCTTAGGACAATAACCAACATTAAACGCACCACATTACTGGATTCCAGGGTGTCGTGACTTCTCTCTATCTCGCAGACAAGCTTGTTGCAGTAGACGATATCGTGCTTTCTGGACATCCGAATAAGTAAAAATGCGCCGCTATTCTGTGCTGCCAACGCTGGTGATCGTCAGCGTTATCGGTAAGTGGCATTCTGGTTGTTTTTATGTATGAGCTACCGCTTATCGAAATCAATTAAGATTTGGTTTTTAGCGCACGCTGCCGACTCCTCCAAATCTGCCAAGCAAATATGCACTTCTTATCCCGCTGTGCCGACCCGCCCGGGTGGTGACGCCCCATCACAGGTTCGTGATTTCTGCTGACTATCAGTTCGTATATGAGTTCGGACTATAGTTTCTCGTATTACAACGGAAGCCAGACGACCGGCCTGCGGACAAAAAATACCAGGTTGAGGCCAGCAGGGCAGTCGTTTTCGATAACTGGTCCGTAGGACCGAAAACACACTAAACGTTTCGGAAGAGTCCGGTCGGGTATCTTCCGAACTTTTGAGCAGCTTTTTTCGGAACATTTTTTAATATTTTGTACAGAACTGCGTTGCAGAAGGCGGGTAGGTGGTATGGTTACCGTCAAAACGGCGAACTCACCGTCAATCAGCAGGTCATTATCACTAACCTCGGCACCACGGTGGATCCGCTCACCAACCTAGCCGCCGCCCAACAGTATCAGCAGTCCACCTGGACGACCACGACCAATATCACATGCCAGAATGATTTCCGGACGGGGATCTATGTCGCCAACGGCATGGAGATCGTCAATGATGCCACACCTAATGACGGATACAGTGTTAACCGTTAAGTATCCTATCTACCGAGATGTGGCAAAAATGTCGCACAGTTTCCAGTTAGTTTTATCATCTTAATCACTGCGGTCTGTACTCTGTAGATATGGACAAATTCGTATACAAACGTTAAATTTTTCAAAGCATTTTCTTTATTTGTTCTGGCAGTATCCCGGAGTATCCCACGGTATCCGTGATCCACATAGTTTTGGCTTCTGTTAACTGCTGTATCCCATCGTATTGTATTTCTGCAGTATCGTTAATGTATCCCCATGTACTCCACTAAAAACTCCAAAAAACTGTCCGGATAAATAAAAAAACGCGACGGATGCAGCAAGGCTACCTTAGACTGCAACTATTTGCAACCTTAGAGCTGTAATTAGCCGGATACATGGCAGATATTTCCCATTGTGCATGGCGTAAACCGCGCCACATGCCTGTCTTATGGTTAATCATAACTGGTTCGACTGCTTATTCGCAGATCTGAGAGGGAATTCGGTGCTGTACCATGACTATGAGAAGCTCGTGGTGGGGTATGGTTGTCGTGCACCACAGAAAGACGGCACCTGTCTGCATACTCCGGTGGTCTGGTCGAAGACGCGAGCCCGCCCCGATAAGCTCTCAGCTAGTGACCGAGCCAGTTTCGATCGCATCATCAACACGGCACTGCAGCCGTACTGCATTACGACAGGGATGATGCCGCTGCAGGTGTACGATGACTCCAAACCAACCTGCCCCTACGTCGATCCTCCGTCCTGTTTTGCCACTATTCTCCAGGGAAACAACGCCACTGTCCCCGCTAATTTTGTTGCAGGTATCCAACACAAAAAAAAACAAACGCCTAGTCTTGGGTGTGCTTACTTTGACCAGACATTTTGTATTTAACGCGCTGAACCAGTATAATTACCAAGTTACTGATTTTCCACAGGCAAGAAAGAGAAAACTACAACAGCCGCGCCCAGTTGCAAATGGCCGATTTATGTGGCATCCAGACTAACTTATGACGCACAAAAAGTAAGGGCTGCAAAATATGGTTATTAAATAATTCTGATAGCAATTTCTTAATAGTAGTAAATAATCTTAATAATAAACACAATGCTTTTAACTTTTTAGAATTTATTAAAAACCATTTAACCGGTCTGTAACGACTGATAACTAACTCTCCTCAGTCAGGCGGTCTGTGGCACGTGTACCGTCATATGTACCTGCCGGCACCGAATGCGATGGGGATGATAAGCAACTGGCACATTCTGGGCAGTTCCCTCTTCCCGGAAACCAACTACACCGGCCACTACGCGTGGATGGAATATACCCAGTATAACAGTCCCTCCGCTACACGATGCAGTTACGGCTACTTCACCGGAATGCTGGCGTCAACCGGAGAGAATGTGGGCTTTCGCTTCTTCACCAGCGACAGTGGAGATGGGATTCGTACGCTTTCAACCACGCCATTCTTGTCAATAATGCTGTCATACAGTATAAGAAAAAATTTCTTTATGTGTAGTGCCGCTGCGATCCATGGTCTTGTATCACGATGACAAGTACCAATTCATGTATGGCTGCAGTACGCCGGATTTAAAGAGGCAGATCTGTGCGTCACCCTTCGCCATGATCCTCGCACGCAGCGACCCCGCCCAATGGAAGCAGAGTGAGAAGGATCAGGTGGACAACGACATTATCACACCGCTTATCCAGAGCTACGGCTGTGATGCCAAGGGTATTCGGGTGATGCCGTCGGCCGGCAGTAAACCGGCCTGCCAGTTCAGAGGGGCCACAACGTCCGTGAAGCAGCTCATTGACGGGTACAACCAGCTAGCGCCTCCCAAAGCGGTTTAATAATCCCGACTTCGTTTAGACGACGAGGCTGTATGCCCATACTGCCCAGTTTAACAATCGCTTAGTGCCAACAGCAGAACCTTGAACAAATTTCGCAGCGAGAAAATTCGCACATTCATACTAAAGATATGCCGTAGGCTCGGCGTGTTAAGTTTTTCCAGATTTCTTCGGAACTCATATTCTTTTTCTCGAATCTATAGTTAAGTAAAATCCAGAATATTTGCGTGTTTCGGCAGGTACCCACACAGTAAGAGTTTTTAGAGATGCGGGGAACTGTCGCCCGCACGCGCGAATTTTTTTAATTAGTGCTCGTATAAATGTACGGTACATTGGTAGCTTTGTACAGATTGTTTGTACAAGTAGACATCCCGTAATTATCGAATTTTCCGCACTGGTCGGCAAATAGTTCGAACACCATGGAGGAGGTGCGGTTATTTCGGGGGGGGGGGGGGGGGGGGGAGTTTTTTGTGCCACCGAAGATGGATCTGCATATGCGAGTGCTGCATCAACTGTTTAAGGGAAGTGGCCCGGTACATGGTACCAAATTCGTGTACATTCACGAAATCTTTCGCTTTCGCGCACTCCCAAACCCATTTTTCTCTTGTTTTATGACATTCTGTAGCCAGATGATTTGTATACACTGGCGTGAAAACCGTTTGTGCGCGCAACATCCGGTTCGAGAGTTACGGCTGTTAGAAATTTCCAAAAAGTTTAAATGCATTCCGGTGTCCCAAAAGTCTCATTATGGACCGATCTCTTTCAGTTTTTGCACGTAAATGCACATGGCCATGACGATCGTTTTTACACCGATCCAGACTTCTATGATTTTTTTCAAATTTTAAAATGGATTTTAAAATTTTTGAAATTTATTTTAAAATTTGAAAAACATGCTAGGACAGTGGATCGGTGTAAAAACGATCTTCATGGTTATGTACATTTACGTGCAAAAGTTCAAGGAGATCGGTCCATAATGAGACTTTTGGTACACCGGAATGCATTTAAACTTTTTGGAATTTTCTAACAGCCATAACTCTCGAACCGGATGTCGCGCGCACAAACGGTTTTCACGCCAGTGTATACAAATCATCTCGCTACAGAATGCCATAAAACAAGAGAAAAATGGGTTTGGGAGTGCGCGAAAGCGAAAGATTTCGTACATGTACACGAATTTGGTACCATGTACCGGGCCACTTCCCTTAAGTTAAGAAAAAGCCTTGCACTTTTGTTCCAAACTTTATTAGAACCTGAATAAATGACCTGAATGATTTTATGGAAAATCAACCATACCACCAGCAAGTCATGTTTATTTCGAAACAAAAATGAAAAGTCAAAGGTATGTCGTGCAGCGCTAAGCCTTTCCTAAACAGCGCACCAATGGCGATAAATAGTCTGCGTGGCAATGATCGGCGATAGCTGCAGTGCTTCTCCGTCGAGGTCACTCCAGCGGTAGATGTTTTCTCGCCACCGATCCGCTCAGGTGTTCAGTTATGTTTAGGAATTTTGGGTTTAAATATGCCAACGTCTTTGGGTTTAACGTGGTTATTGCCTTATTGACTGTTCAGTCAAAATCAGGAATAGCAGAGAGTGGACATTGTAACGCTATGGCACGATTTTCAATATCACAGCTTGCCCTGTTACCTCAGTATCTGTACTGAGTCTACTGACTGCACATGCACATCGCTTCCTTGTATCAAAATTACTAACATTGGCGTTCCAATTCTGCTTCAATAAGGGCGATAATTTTTATTTCTGTCTAGAACACACGTACAAGGTGCTCGTATAATCGCGAAGTACATAGTATAAAAGCGGTTTATCAGCAAACACGTATCTACAATTGTATGTTGAAGTACTACAAAACGGCGACCTGGGTAAACTGCATCCATTATGATATTAGTTAGCTGACGGAAGCAGTATTAATCCACAAACTGAACATCACCTGCAAAACGAAGAGGCCAACTAAAACACTTGGAGCTTCGCAAGGATTGGTGGCCATTCTTGTTTGAATCAAGTGGGTTTTTTAAACCACTAGTGTTCGGCGTTTCTTTTGTCCTTAAAGTGATTAGTAAACTGGATGCATTTCGGGGGCAGCAAGAGAGAAACTATGCAAAAATCTTTAGTGAAAATTATAAATTAGAACCCGGGTGCAACACTTCCGATTACACCAGACAAATCGCTCTGCTAAAAACGTACAGATACTACATAATAAAAATGTAAGAAGCATTTTTTTCCGCTAATTTCAGTGTTCCACATTGCCACGAATGAGGTCGACGGCCGATCCTGGAATAACAGGAAGTTGGTCCGCAGTATCGGGATGTCTTATGCAGTTCATTTACTTCACATGATGAAAACAGGAACGAGATTACAGTATTTGAACGCTTCGGTTGATTAGGCGTTCAGAGCACTGAGCCACTGATTGCTGCAAGTTCTGATTGTACACTCTAAAGCCACCGCCAAACTCTCCCTTGACGGCCTGTTTTTTACTTTTTTGCTCTTACCCCTTACAATGAATTTCAGCGCGCCAAGTGTCCAAAACTTGTCGATCGATAACAATATCACACGATCTTTTCAACCTGAGCACAGTCCGTTCTTCAGACGAACTGTGTCAGCCAGACTCCCTAGCACAGAAATCTGGTCGTGACCTTTAATTCTCTGGCGCTAGTCTTGACGTTGATCAACAAGCCAATGCGGACGCCGTTCAACGTCTACGTAATTGCTTTAATGTGCTGCAATGTTGCAGCTATGGGCCTGAACTATACTGTAGCCGCTAGACGAACTTGCACCACTTTCAGATCCGGCCGCTGCCTGCACCCTGCCGGGTATTTAGCACGACGCCTCCCCCCACCAGGCAGCGCACACGTTGATTTTAAAATTTTACCAGCTGAACTGTGAAACCGCTGCCCCTGCCAGGGGCAGCCCAAAACAACAACAGTCGTGGGTTTACACTTGAAAATAAAACAATTTCAGAGCTCTGAATTTGTCGCTTCTTTTAATTGTGTTGCCAATACGTAAAATAAAAATTTGGGTACTTCTAAAACAACGCCAAGGAAAATGGCTCGATATTAAAAACAAAACGCCAAATATTTTCGCAACGAGCAAAGTGTGTATATTGCAATTGCATTTTCCCGTAAACCAGACTCTGTGGTGCAAGTTCGTTTATCGGCTACAGTATACTAATCCTCGTCGTTGACGCCTTCGGGTCAGCTTGGGTGAGCAAGCCAAGATGCATAATTCGCTTGTACGCCTTCTACGTCCTCGTCCCTATGGTATACCATTATCATTTACTCATCATGCTGAACCGCGCCTGGGCACTCTTCGCGCCGATCTCATACCGCGTCCGGCATAGTGGTTTCACCGCCTTCCTTCTTTGCTGCGGCGTGGTTCTGTATATCCCTGTAAGGATGTTGCTGGAGGTGGTCCTGGATGACTTTTACTACCGTACACCTCTGGAAAAAGGATGCCGGCTCAATTCTGCTCGGCAATTTTCTCTCACCCAGGTTACAAATATTTGGATTTATGACATACCAGTTGTCGCAATCCCGGTAGTGCATCCGTTGCTACTTTGGAAGATGATGTCTCGTCGGAATGCAGGCGGACGGATTAACGTCGTTGACAATCAAACCGTACAACGCCCCGGCATGCAACGAGAAACTCATTATCGGCCTTTCGTGCTGCTCACATTGTACACGGGCAGCACCTTGGTATGTTGGCAGCCCAGTATATGGTACTTGATAATTTAAGGCAGTTTTCTCACAGTCCAGTTGGGTACAGTGCTTTATCAAGTGCAGGCGATCCTTTATAGCCTTCCACCGATTTTGGATCCGGTCTTTTTCTATTTAACTAATAGCAGTGTTCACGAAAATGTGCATCGAATCTGTAGGAGACCGGGAGGGAATGCAACAGCAACCTAAATCATAATCAGTTAAGTGATCACGTTTAAGCGCTGTAACAATGGGTAACGTTAGGACTGGCTCAATCCGTACCAAGATCATGTTGCGCAGCGCGTTGCGGTTCCGACAACATTATCCGCCGCAACAAGACGGCAGTGCTACTCTTTGTAGCGCCCGAAACAGCATCTGCAAACGCCGCAACGTGCAGCAACGGGCCGCAACAGTGCTGACCACGCATGCTGCACTGGGTTGTTGCAACGCCGCAACAGCCGCAACACGGCTTATAAGCCGCAGCGTGCAGCAACGGGCCGCATCAGTGCTAGCCCGTATGCTGCACTGGGCTGCTGCAACGCCGCAACAGCCGCAACACGGCTTATAAGCCGCAACGTGCAGCAACGGGCCGCAACCGTGCTAGCCCGTATGCTGCACTGGTCTGCTGCAACGCCGCAACAGCCGCAACACGGCTTATAAGCCGCAACGTGCAGCAACGGGCCGCATCAGTGCTAGCCCGTATGCTGCACTGGTCTGCTGCAACGCCGCAACAGCCGCAACACGGCTTATAAGCCGCAGCGTGCAGCAACGGGCCGCATCAGTGCTAGCCCGTATGCTGCACTGGTCTGCTGCAACGCCGCAACAGCCGCAACACGGCTTATAAGCCGCAACGTGCAGCAACGGGCCGCATCAGTGCTAGCCCGTATGCTGCACTGGTCTGCTGCAACGCCGCAACAGCCGCAACACGGCTTATAAGCCGCAACGTGCAGCAACGGGCCGCATCAGTGCTAGCCCGTATGCTGCACTGGTCTGCTGCAACGCCGCAACAGCCGCAACACGGCTTATAAGCCGCACCGTGCAGCAACGGGCCGCATCAGTGCTAGCCCGTATGCTGCACTGGTCTGCTGCAACGCCGCAACAGCCGCAACACGGCTTATAAGCCGCAACGTGCAGCAACGGGCCGCATCAGTGCTAGCCCGTATGCTGCACTGGTCTGCTGCAACGCCGCAACAGCCGCAACACGGCTTATAAGCCGCAGCGTGCAGCAACGGGCCGCATCAGTGCTAGCCCGTATGCTGCACTGGTCTGCTGCAACGCCGCAACAGCCGCAACACGGCTTATAAGCCGCAACGTGCAGCAACGGGCCGCATCAGTGCTAGCCCGTATGCTGCACTGGTCTGCTGCAACGCCGCAACAGCCGCAACACGGCTTATAAGCCGCAACGTGCAGCAACGGGCCGCATCAGTGCTAGCCCGTATGCTGCACTGGTCTGCTGCAACGCCGCAACAGCCGCAACACGGCTTATAAGCCGCAACGTGCAGCAACGGGCCGCATCAGTGCTAGCCCGTATGCTGCACTGGTCTGCTGCAACGCCGCAACAGCCGCAACACGGCTTATAAGCCGCAACGTGCAGCAACGGGCCGCATCAGTGCTAGCCCGTATGCTGCACTGGTCTGCTGCAACGCCGCAACAGCCGCAACACGGCTTATAAGCCGCAGCGTGCAGCAACGGGCCGCATCAGTGCTAGCCCGTATGCTGCACTGGTCTGCTGCAACGCCGCAACAGCCGCAACACGGCTTATAAGCCGCAACGTGCAGCAACGGGCCGCATCAGTGCTAGCCCGTATGCTGCACTGGTCTGCTGCAACGCCGCAACAGCCGCAACACGGCTTATAAGCCGCAGCGTGCAGCAACGGGCCGCATCAGTGCTAGCCCGTATGCTGCACTGGTCTGCTGCAACGCCGCAACAGCCGCAACACGGCTTATAAGCCGCAACGTGCAGCAACGGGCCGCATCAGTGCTAGCCCGTATGCTGCACTGGTCTGCTGCAACGCCGCAACAGCCGCAACACGGCTTATAAGCCGCAGCGTGCAGCAACGGGCCGCATCAGTGCTAGCCCGTATGCTGCACTGGTCTGCTGCAACGCCGCAATAGCCGCAACACGGCTTATAAGCCGCAACGTGCAGCAACGGGCCGCATCAGTGCTAGCCCGTATGCTGCACTGGTCTGCTGCAACGCCGCAACAGCCGCAACACGGCTTATAAGCCGCAGCGTGCAGCAACGGGCCGCATCAGTGCTAGCCCGTATGCTGCACTGGTCTGCTGCAACGCCGCAACAGCCGCAACACGGCTTATAAGCCGCAACGTGCAGCAACGGGCCGCATCAGTGCTAGCCCGTATGCTGCACTGGGCTGCTGCAACGCCGCAACAGCCGCAACACGGCTTATAAGCCGCAACGTGCAGCAACGGGCCGCAACCGTGCTAGCCCGTATGCTGCACTGGTCTGCTGCAACGCCGCAACAGCCGCAACACGGCTTATAAGCCGCAACGTGCAGCAACGGGCCGCATCAGTGCTAGCCCGTATGCTGCACTGGGCTGCAACGCCGCAACAGCCGCAACACGGCTTATAAGCCGCAACGTGCAGCAACGGGCCGCAACCGTGCTAGCCCGTATGCTGCACTGGTCTGCTGCAACGCCGCAACAGCCGCAACACGGCTTATAAGCCGCAACGTGCAGCAACGGGCCGCAACCGTGCTAGCCCGTATGCTGCACTGGGCTACGGCAACGCCGCAACAGCCGCAACACGGCTTATAAGCCGCAACGTGCAGCAACGGGCCGCAACCGTGCTAGCCCGTATGCTGCACTGGTCTGCTGCAACGCCGCAACAGCCGCAACACGGCTTAAAAGCCGCAACGAGCAGCAACGGGCCGCAACCGTGCTAGCCCGTATGCTGCACTGGGCTGCTGCAATGCCGCAACAGCCGCAACACGGCTTATAAGCCGCAACGTGCAGCAACGGGCCGCAACCGTGTTATCCCGTATGCTGCACTGGTCTGCTGCAACGCCGCAACAGCCGCAACACGGCTTATAAGCCGCAACGTGCAGCAACGGGCCGCAACCGTGCTAGCCCGTATGCTGCACTGGGCTGCTGCAACGCCGCAACAGCCGCAACACGGCTTATAAGCCGCAGCGTGCAGCAACGGGCCGCATCAGTGCTAACCCGTATGCTGCACTTGGCTGCTGCAACGCCGCAACAGCCGCAACACGGCTTATAAGCCGCAACGTGCAGCAACGGGCCGCATCAGTGCTAACCCGTATGCTGCACTTGGCTGCTGCAACGCCGCAACAGCCGCAACACGGCTTATAAGCCGCAACGTGCAGCAACGGGCCGCAACCGTGTTATCCCGTATGCTGCACTGGTCTGCTGCAACGCCGCAACAGCCGCAACACGGCTTAAAAGCCGCAACGTGCAGCAACGGGCCGCAACCGTGCTAGCCCGTATGCTGCACTGGGCTGCTGCAACGCCGCAACAGCCGCAACACGGCTTAAAAGCCGCAGCGTGCAGCAACGGGCCGCATCAGTGCTAACCCGCTGTAATTTGCTGCAACGCCGCAATAGCCGCAACACGGCTTGTGTTGCAACGTGCAGCAACGGGCCGCATCAGTGCTAACCCGTATGCTGCACTTATTGCTGCAACGCCGCAACAGCCGCAACACGGCTTATAAGCCGCAGCGTGCAGCAACGGGCCGCATCAGTGCTAACCCGTATGCTGCACTTGGCTGCTGCAACGCCGCAACAGCCGCAACACGGCTTATAAGCCGCAGCGTGCAGCAACGGGCCGCATCAGTGCTAACCCGTATGCTGCACTTGGCTGCTGCAACGCCGCAACAGCCGCAACACGGCTTAAAAGCCGCAACGTGCAGCAACGGGCCGCAACCGTGCTAGCCCGTATGCTGCACTGGGCTGCTGCCGCAACATGCAGCAACGGGCCGCAACCGTGTTATCCCGTATGCTGCACTGGTCTGCTGCAACGCCGCAACAGCCGCAACGCGCCTCATAACTGAACATGGTGTGTATCCAGATTCCCAATGGACCCTAACAGAATCCTAGACCCTAAGGGTTTGATTAGGCACTCAACACTTTCCCTGTATCGCGCTTGCGCACTCCAACCTTCAGCTTAGATTAATCAAGAAACAACGGTACTCATCGGTTTCGTTTTTTCCGTTGCGTTCGGTTAAAAGATTGTGGTGTCAGGTTGCAAACAAAATGTAAAAAATTCGTTTCTCAACATTTTCGCATTAAACGGGTCAAAGAAAATTTCATGGGGAATTTAGTAGTGGGTGGTAGGGAATTGCATTCTGTGTATTGTATCTGTAGCGGTTGCTCCACAGTGCGTGATGCAAACACATAAAGCACGGCACTGTAAACTGTTCTGCATATATCTCACGGTTCATTGTAAAAGTTTCCGCAGCGGATTGGCCATCTGGATGCGTGCTCGATGTCATTTCTGGTGTTGCAACCAGTCTGATAATTAAGGTCCCATTAATCTAATACCTTACGATGTACCAGGTAGCATCGGAAAGTGCCTTAGGTGTACTGTGACAATCCACCTTTATCCTAACCTGGATCTCATTTACTGTATAGGTACCATGCCTTAGTAGGTCTAGGTCACACTGCCGGTTTACTTTATGCAGATTCAATTCGCATTTCCTTATTACTGTCCTGCGGCAGATTTCTCTCTTGTATTCGACACCTGCCTTAGCAGCTTTACCTGGGTGGCACTCTCGTAACCGCTCCATTCCGCACATAGTTATGATGCAGTAACTTCTTCGCGGTTAACATGTTATCCTCTGCACATCGAAAAAGGGACAGCGGAGGACTCAGCAACGACGGTTAACCAATATTAATCTAAATGTTGTCGAAGTTTACTGTGGAAGTTATCCACATCAACTCCTTTTCTACGGTACTGTCTAACTGTCTGTGAACAACTGTTAAACAGACAATGCAAATTATATGTACAGACTATGCTCCTGGGCTGGACTAAAATTTTGCACGTGTCCTCAATTCTTACAGAAAGCGGAAATACAGAGTATTTACAGTTTTTGTAGTGTATAATTGTACGTACTGGTACAGTGACGTACGAGTGCAGAGTATCGCGTGAATTGTTGTCGTGATGTGCCGTAGCAACGGTCTACCTGTTGTCTGTTGTTGACATATTGTTTAGCGATCAGTTCTCTGGTTGGCTCCGTAGCGAGCAGTCGTATTAACAAAGTGCACACCGCGCATACTTCACAATCTTTATGGTTTTGCAGGTTTTCTCGCAGACAGCTGATCAAAATTTGATGTCTGTACAAGAGAAAATCAGGCTCATAGCCCGCTTACCAAAGACATACAAGAAAAAATCAGGCTCATAGCCCGCTTACAAACGTCAAAGTGCAACTGGTAGCTACAATGCACAGAAACGGCTGACTAAAAAAAACTAAAGTCGTAAGCTAAATAAAACGTACATTTTTTCCTTAAAAAACCGCTGCAGTTATCTTTAAAATTATGCACATTGGTCCGAATGATTCGTTACTTTCAAACAAACAGTAGTCCTATTTGCAGGACTGACACTTAAACGCTCTCTCCTTTGCGTCTGTCAACCTGCCCCTTACGTTTCCGCACTTCAAATGAAACACAAGTTTGCAAGCCGTGCATGCGATCCCTGGGTCCTTCATTTCCAGCGCAAGCCCACACTTAGCGCACTAAACAAACAATTCACCTACAATACTGGCAGCGAATGACATGCAATAAAAATGTATTGAGACTGATTTGCTGACCTTTGCGGCATCATCGTTTGAAACGATTTGAACTTTGTATTTACTGGCTCGTGTTTCTGGGGCAGATCCTACGAATGAAAAAAACCACGATCCCATTTGAGTTAGAATTCACCATTACACACATTAAATGCGGGAGACCGCCGTATGCGTGATGATCACCTGTCCAAATTAACGCACAGCATTTTGCAGGCGGTATTACAGTACTATTACGATAAAGCACCCCGCTAACCCGCAAATTTAATTTCGGTCAACGTTTATGGGTTTTTTTCAACCTTGTACAACACGCATTTTTATCGTTCAGCATTATTACCGAGAGTCTATCCTTTTTCACACTGAACAGCAAGCGCAGATGCATCTCTTATGAAAAGCATACGAATTTTAATAGGCTGACAATATACCTTTATTGGCAAGCTTGCGCTTTTTCGCTTTGCCTTCCGGTTCAGCAATCTCTGAAACGATAAGTAATAATGTTTTCAAATTCAGCGCAGCGCATAAAATTCCGTTACTGTCCACTACGGTGATTTGCGTAAAGCGAAAAAAATTTATGGAAAAAAATGAATTTCGGTTGCAGCCAATTATTGGGAAGTAGTTTGTCACCTTCATCAGAAGACTCGTCCTCCAAAGATTTCGGCTCCTTACTGAGACGACAAATGCTGCTGTCCTTTGTAGTTTCCGGCGATGCAATCCGTTCGCCCGGTGGGACACGCCCACCAGCTGAACACTGCTCCGTCACACCGGTGTTGTCGGCTGAAACGGAAATCGGCGGCGCGATGTTGGTGCCGATACTCAACTCAGTCATGCCTCCGGGATTGGCGCTGGTTGAATTGGACACAACAAGATTGCTCTGCTGATTAGTAGCAGAGGCCGGAGGCTTTTCGTTCGTAGGGTCTGACTGGTCTGGACCGGTAGTGGCCGTGCCCGAGATACCTTAGTGTCAAAAATGAGACTGTTTTGAAGGATGACTTCATATTTACATGACAGCATCACTTTGCAATGTACTCCTTATAGAAGCTAAGAGATTACTACATATAATAACATTATCTGAGACTGGGATTTCTTTCTATTTCTTGCTTTCTCGATTCATTATAAACTGTGATTTGGAAAATATAAAAAAAATTTGCGGATTCGTTTTCACTTTTTTGAGTTTTAGGTAGGACGGTTCTGCGGGAAAGGAAACAACACAAGTGCAACAAATTTTGGAGAGATATCTGTATGAGTAGGCAAGAGATGACTGCTACCTGCACACGGGCAGTTCAAAAACTCGTTCGAATACATTAGGAGCCACATTAAAAAGCCCAGCTCAGAGCGGGGTTAACGTTATTTGTCGAGACTCCAAAAGGATGCTCACTTTTATGTATGCAAGTAGCAGCACTTTCTTTTTTTCCAACCATTCGATACTCCTTTTTTGTACTGCTTTTCTGCGATTCTCATTTTCATAAAGCGCTCCCAAAAAGTGGTTGTTTCGAATTATTTTGTCAGTCCTTTCATGCGAGTTAGTTATGTACGTTTCTACACGTGTACATGTACTTCAAGCATACGCTCACGACCTACAGCAGATTTTAAAAACTCAGCTGGCGGCACTTGTATGGCGGCGTGTAGATAGCTAGTAGCGCTTCCAATATTGATGTTCGCTCAAAAATCAGACTAAGATTTAAGAGGCCGATCAATAAAAGACAGATTCAAAGACAAACTGTTCAAAATAAGACACTATACTTACCAAGTTTTCCTGTCTTTGTAACACCTGTTACATCAGTGCCCTCATAGATAAGGAGATATTGAGTAAGTGTCCTTCTGAACTGTATTGTTTCAACCGCCCGTGCAGTTTCGATAAGCATACTAATTTTATGGTTTTCACGTCTTGACTTCCCCCGTGACTGTCACCACGTTTTAGCTATTCGCACTGCCTTTTTATGAATGATTTGGCACCATGATTGCCTACTGTCTACTGCCACCCAGTTCACCCTTTCACACCTGACGTGATATAGAGTACAGTAGCGATGAGTACGTAAAGTGACGGCTTTACTCGTACTTTCTATTATTCGCTGTACTTTCTCGGCGTTTCTCTTTTGTGTTAGGATTTACTTTTGGTTGTTTCTACACGGATGCGCCGTGTCTATATAAGTCAGTGATTGGCAGTACTTTGGTCGTTAGTTCTCTCATTATGAGATTGGCAGCGTTCGGAGTTTATAATTAAATTATCGTCGGAGATGCAGTTCTCGCTTCGCGTAGATTCGTAGACTTAGCTATGCCACATTGCGATTATTAGCTCATACTCTGTCGTTGAGTAGGTCGGTAGGATAGATTATTACGGTAATTATTCCTATCGTACTGATCTCTCCGTCACACCTCTTTATATACGGGTGGCGGCAATCGCCGTACAGCAATCTTCTGTTCAAAAATACAGTCAAAAGCAAGGCAAGTAATGAAAGCATAAGGGCTTACATGTAAAATCTAGTTGGTCCTATGTGTGCTTGCTGGATCTTTTACATGTTTTAGCACATTTTTATAAGATCTTACATTATAATTGATAACTACTTTTATCTCATACAGGGTACGCTGAAAGTTTCCCTACCCATTTGTCCCAGCAACTCCGTAACCCTTTTCGAAACGTATGATAGGGGGACAATTGACGCCTTCAGAATACGTCCATCCAAACGTACATCGTGGGAAACTTCAGCGTTGGAAATCAGACGAAGTGCAGGAACACAGCCGGCCAGGAAACGGGTATCCATTCCTTTGCTTTTCAAATCCGCTTCAAAGGCCTCAAGTTTAAACGCCAAGAAAGCAACTTGATCCCCACTTTTGGCCTTTCCCATATAAACCTTGACATTGCTTTTTACCTAGGGAAACGTAAATCTTGGTTTTCAGCATTTTTTAGAAAAGTTATGCTTGACGGAAATTGGCTCGACCCCTTTGTCGGCCGAAAACCTTCTGCCCATGTTATAAGACTCTTCATGGCTGCATTCTATACCTTGAAAATACTTACCGTAACTGGTTCCGCTTTTTGGATTGCTCTTTCGATAATCATGTTAAGGTCACTGGGAGCTGACAAAGTTTTCTGCTCCTTAGACTTTGGTGACAGTGGTGTCTGAGGAAGTGCGTGCTTGGCTTTCGCTTGCGGTTGCGTCTGCCAGGTAGCCGCTACTTTGCACATAAACTTTAGGACAAAATCACGGAGAGCTCCCCTGTTTACACACATTTCGACATCCACAATGTCCAGTACCTACACAAAGCCGTTCAAGGAACATGAACATATTGCTTGTAATGTCTAGCAGATATGGAATTGTTTGGCTGATAGGCTTGTATACGCAAATGTATGAACCTGTTAATTTTTCGCAAGGTACGGGACAAAACAGTTGCAGGTCAAGACTATGACCGTGCGTGTTGTTGTCTCAGATCATTTTCGCGCGTTACACTTCGGCCGCACAGATTCACTTCGGGCAACGCTCACTCCGGTCGGAGCTCACTTTTTCGTAAATTTCTTTCGTTTTCATCTGTTGTTTTGCATGTATATTTCAAGTTTTTTGGAATTACTTAGTTTTCGATGTCAACTTTGCGCGATCCTCACTTTTTTCGAGCGATCATGCAGTTTTATAGTGGACAACACTGTGCTTGTACATGCTGAAATATGCATAAGCGGTTTTCACTAGGCACTTTGTTCAGTTAAGCTCGGTTTGGAATGTGTATTTTTTGTCTTGAAGGTTGACGCGGTTCTTATTCAGTACATCTGACTTGTATCGAGATTTTGCATCAAGGTTAAGATCTTACGCTTGTAGAATGACGGCCGAAGAGTACACAAGCCGAAGTGGACGTCGGCGATGTGTGCTGCGGCCGAAGTGAATGACGGCCGAATGCTTTGGCCGAAATGAGGGTGGCCGAAATGAAAACGATCGAAGTCATTGGTAGTCGTGTGTGGGCTAGTGTGCGTGTGTCGGGGAATCCGTAAGCGCTTACCGTGCAAGTGTATCCATAAATCAAGGATATGTTGAAACCAATTCGCTGCTTTGACTGACCCATGCCGTATTTCGTCAACATTTCAATAACTTCGGGGAAGATTGAGTCACTGTAACGCGCGACTGCCGCAATCTCAGTATCGCGGCATACGTACAGTTTCTCCGCATGCTGCGACAGGAAGCTGAACGAACTCTTGTCCTGAATCCGTAACGAGGCACTGCGTTCCGCAATTTGCTCCGAGAAAGACACAAGACTCCCGCGCGATATGCCTCGGATGCTGTGGAGTTGTCTCGTTTCTTCTAACTGTATAACAAACAGGTAAAACCTGATACAACCCACCCGTCAAAGTTGCGAAAGTCTGCCAGTGCATCAGAGTTCAGCGTAATAATTGCCGAAGTCCGCGGATATTTCCGTTCTGTGTTATTCGCTAACGCTTTCTTCTCGTAGGTGTCTTCGATTGCTGCCTTCACAATTTCTGGGCTGACTGGATCGTGTATCACAACCGGAAGGTTTTGTGTTGTGATGAAGTCTCTCAGTGCCGCTACGGTAGTACTTTTAAAGTCTCACAGTTGAGATGCGCCTTGCGCAAACATTTCCAACACCATACTGGCAACAAACGATTTTCCGCAGTTTGTGTCTCCATACAAGAACAGTACCGGCATTCGCTTGAAATTTGCAATGGTAACGTCGTAATGAAAACCAGCATAAGCGCCCCCTGAAAATGCATGATTAAGAGTACGGAATAGCGATTTTTAAAACTGACGAAAACCTTTCGCCTGCGTCAACTGCTATGCGTTGGCAGACGTAATACTGGTGCGTGAATTATGTAGTACAATATTACATCGGCATGCGACAGCTTAACGTGTTCACCCTTTTATCAAAGAAATAAACGAATTCTTTACTCAAACCGGCCGTGGATGGCAAGAAACGTGGAGGCAAAGCCGCAGCTACGTTTTGTAAACTCTCAAAAACGTACAAATTAAAGATCAGCTGGCACAAAAAGCGCCATGTAAATCCATTTTTCGCTAAGTCATAATTTTTCCAACAGTGCAAAACCATTGATTTTCAGTGAGAGCATAAATGCTCTAAGTAGAACGTGAAGTACCGTACAAGCATAAGCGCCCCTGATTGCACTACAGTATGCACAATGCAGTATACTGGCTTTATAACGTTAAGGTGCTGTATCTGTATCTTCATGGGTGCGGGTAGGTTTAATAGCACCTTCGTCCTTTCACAGGAGAGGTTAAACTTGCCACCGTTGCTTTGCGATGTCGATAGCAAGTACTGCACAGGGCGCAACGCGCACTATACTTTGGCAAAGCGCATTAAATGCTTTTTGTAACGCGCTGCATTTTCATTGTGTATTACATCGTAGAATGGCATGCCGAGCAGATGTAGAGAAAGATCAGTTGGACTGAACTTGCGTCAAGTTGCCAAAGGGAACGTATTTGTCAAAGTTAATTTTGCTACATCTTCAGTTTTAAAAAAATTCGTAGAAAAATTTAAAAAATAAAACCAGTGTATTTTCCATTTGTGCGGCACAGCAAAAATCAGTTCTCCGTCATTTGATGGCTCACCGACAATTTCTCCAAGGAAATTTTAATTTGAAAAAATTACATCCAAATAAATTCAATTACATGAGAATTATGTTGCTCTTCGCTTCTTTTGGGTCTTACCTAGTGCCATGCAGAGCCCAAGCATTGTTTTCTCTGGCAGTAAAGATGACAGGAACGACAGAGCGTCATAATCAGGCGGTAAAGTTTTAGGGACAGACAGCTCAGGCAGCGATCCAGGAACCCAAACGAATTCCGTTGCGGAAAGGTCGACGCGTTGGAAGTCGCCCACTTCAGTTTTACGAAATGCAGTTTCCGGGCCGAAAACCACAGTATCCCCGTCCGCTTGCCGGCCATGGCGGATTACTCTTTTTCGTACAAAAGGGTCACCGCGTTCTTTGGCTTTCCTAAAGAAAAAACGTATTTCTGTAATATCGGGTCATCAACGCTATTAACGCTTCATTTCAACACGATGTTGGTTTAGAACAGAAGTGTGCAGTGAAGATTTAACGATTACATATCTTTTGTGTTTCATATAATACGCCTAAAAAGTTTTTTAAAGACAGCTACTTACTGAATATAATCGCTTGTCAGAAATTTGCCGTATTCTTGAAGGTCATTTTGGCTCATTTTGCAGAATATCGCAGGCAAGCCTTTGCATTTGCAGCCTTTCTTCAAAGCCGTCTTCAGACTTTCTGCTGAGTTCCAAGCGGTTATGGAGAGAAATCCTTTGCTAAAATACGTAACGGAACTGGTTAGTATCTCGTCACCATCTAGATAGAAAAAACACGAACGAAAGTGTAACTCAAAGAATGCCTCAGCGCCCATGAGCTATCAAGAGCAAATCGCACTCCAACAGTCTCGCTTCTTGCCACATTGGTACTTCGCCATTCGTAAATTACGCCAGCTGTTTGCTGCTTGAAAATCGGAACGCTATAGCGGTCTTCCGATGACCTTTCTGCTACAGTTTATGAGTGCCCATACTGCCAAGTGGATGTACCCGATGGTACATTCCGATAAAAGTAAAGTAACTGAAAATAAATCACTAAAGCGGAAAATTCTTAAGATTTACTATCAAAAAAATTTCAGTTATGCAAAAAGAGCGTTTGGAAAACTCTATAAATAGCTGCTCGAGAATGCAACCTCAGCCCGTTCTTTCTGGTTTAAAGTTCCCAGGTATTTTTACCTGAAACTTTCATCTTCACACTTTGTACATATTTTCTTTTCAAGCCCAGCGTCATGCAAATCAGCAAATGATTATTACGAGTCTTTACGACCAATCGTATGAACGCATACCGTAAATACCTAATTTCTGGCACCTGGCGGCAAATACTTCGAACTCTAACGCCCTGGTGCAGGTGCGCTTGTTTTGCGGAGATGGCACACTAAGCAGGGCGCAAATCGAAGAAAACCAAGAAACGACTGAAAAGTGCACCGATGGGGGAATCGAATCCCTGCTACGTCGATAGACCCGCGTAGGCAGCACCACTGCACCACGGCGCAAAGTGTTGAAATACTTTGGAAGACTTGTCGCTGTACGTGAGCCGCCTCTCCCCAGCACCATTTTTAGGGGTGCTATTTTTTACGCGATAAATTTCGGGACAGGCCATTATTTCCGAAACAAGAACGCATCCTGCTTCATCAAATCTGAACGCGTTTTGTTGGTGTAGTTCCCGGGTCTACAGGATGTAGTTGCACAGCTTGCGTGCGACAGCTCAGAACATGTATGCAACTCTTTGGTAGTATTCACCACAGCATTTTTAAAAATTGTCTAATTATGAGTTTAATAGGAAGGATATTTACGGCCTAATAACTACGGCGCGTCTTGCGACAACTTCAGGGTTGCCCTTATTGTGGTGCGTGCCACAGATTTGATAATAACGTTATATAAGACCTAATAAACAGCACAGTGTTTGAAAAGCGGTTTTAATATTATGCTAGACCTTAGTTCATAAAATGTGTGCTTCATTTAGCGATGCTGGGTAGGGGTTTACAACTACATTACCACTAGCAGTACTGCAATTTTTTACGAAGCGAAACCCAATAATGTTTTAGTTTTATAAAACCGCCGTATCAGCTGTGCAGTGAATGTTTTTTAGATAGCCTTGTTCCCATACTGCGCGCGTCAGCAGTGGAAGTTTGTTTTAAAGTCTGGGCAGCCTTCGATGTTACTGCTGCAGTTGGAATAAAAATTTGTGACTAATATCGAGGAAAGACAGCGCATCTGTGACTTGCGACATTTAGTGTGCTATTATAGTAAACTCACTATTTTCCAAATTGATCGCAATCCACGTCTACAAGGTATCCGGCGTCCGTATCACTTTCATCACCACAGATAATCGCTTGGATTTCAATTGCGCAGCTTAGAACTTCCCTGCGGCCGTCATCCTGCTCTCTCGGTGTTGCCACTTTGAAGGTCTTCGCCTTGTCCACATCAAACGTGTAACAGCCGGTCGTCTGTAACCAATAAAGATGTTGGCTAATTGAGTAAAAGGGGGAAAAGCGTATAGTTTACCGATAAATCCATCTTTGGGCAGATATAAGCTGTGCCGATCAGAGAAAGAAGTAGTTCGATCAAATAAAAACGAAAATTTTATTTTACGTAACAATGCAGTGAGCAGCACGTCTTTTTTAGAAATTATTAGGACGGTCCGCAAACGTCCCAATCACCAGCAACACGTCATTAAAATGATGGTCTTGCTTATGGCCTACCCGGTTTACCCGTGTTAGCATGCCGAATGCGCTGCCGTGCGCGGCATCGGTACAGCGGCGGCATCACAAAGGTTGTCGGCTTATTTCATCTTTCGCGCTCTACGGCTTTTGTCTGATCATCTTCGTTCTGATCTTGCTTCTCTTTCGCAGATTTCTTTGGTCGTAGGTAGTAAACGCAAATTTGTTATTTCCACTTGCAAGTTTTTCAACGAAATGGCCAAAAGAATAAAGCTTGAAACGAACTCTCGTGAGGCATCTTCTTTTATGGTTGAAAAGTACGGCCTCAAAAATGTTGAGCGGCTCAAGATTTGTTCCGCCGCAGTACCAGTAACTTTACCGTACTTCCGACGGTTGAAGGTGAGTCGCTTGCTACTATTATTAGAAGGAAATCTTGTTGTGCCAGCTTTAAAATTTGAAATTGTTTTTGTGTCTGGTGCTCCAGTTTGATTAAATAGTTACAAATAATGAAGATGCATTAGGTTAGTGAAATTGTTATTTCGCTATTTCTAGCTTCAATGTGGACATGCCTCATTAATTAGGCTATGCGATGGTTACTGTTTCTGCAAATACATGAAAAGTAAAAGTTTTTTTATATGAAAGATTTTCTGGGGCTGCCGTCAGCACCAAGGCCAAAGGTATAGAATTCGTCAAATTCTCATTTAGTTCTCTGTACGTAATCATCACTCAGCCGCTCTAGATAGTTCGTTCAGCCACGCCAAGATATTTTTCGCTCGCTATTAAAACCATGTTTGTTCGATTTTTATTGCTTTATCGTGATTTTTTTTATTGCAAACGACGGCACCGGAAAACACTGCGTGTCGTGTCTAGGATGCTACGACTGCTCCTAGCAGACGCATGATGCATCGTTGTTACGCACTCCTTCATCTCGTCTGTACACTACCATCGACCGCGGTGAAGCCGGTCCGCTTGGCATTGCAATGTAATCACTCTAACACTTAATCTGCTGTCAGCAGGGCATCATTGCTGGAGAACATGTTGATGGTGAATTATTAATTTTTATGCGAGGAGTTAGTAAATCTACAAATTTACAGTTTTTCATTTGGCGGTCGGACGTTAGTGGATTCTGATTATAAACACGAGTACAGACCGGTAGGGTACTCCCAAAAGGTTTAAGTGTACAACCAGTTGCACAGCAGTCGGTAGCGGATTTACTGCGTCAAGTCATGAAAAAAGCACAAAAAATAATTAACTAAAGGTGAAACTGTCTATCAGTAAAATGTATTCTGTAAAGCGTGGGGCAGCAACATACACTAGTCGCATTTCTGTGAATAGTCGGGCAGCAAATACAGTAGTTGAAAAGCATTGTGTTCGTCGGTAAGCAGTTTGTCGATTAAGGAGGTTCTGTGAATTAGCAATATATCGGTAATCAGATTGTAATGAAGCAAAACTAAAATCAGAAAATTTACGTACTACCGTGTTGAGCGTGTGAACTAGGGATTGACTTATTTTTCCAGATTTTATCCGAAATGATGGGGATGTCGACGACATTAGGAGAGATGTTTTTAAAAGATTTCGGATCTTACTCGCCCGATTTTCTAACAGGCGATCCTTTCGTTGCTCCGCTCGAAGTGCTGTGTCCCCCAGTAACCCCTTGTTTAAAAGGTTGTGCGTGGAAAAAGGGACCTAATAAAGGAATGCCAAGAGTTTTGGCATGGCACCGTAATCCAACTAAGGTATGGAAGTTATGGGCGCTTTGCTATGTGGTAGAAGATAGTATGTAAATAGCGCATTTCGTGGGTAAGTTAACGCAGCGGTTACTTGTTAAAATGCGGCAGTAGCAATACCAATGGTCAGAATTATAGCAATGGCTGTTCCGTCGTCCGTGTACGAGACGGCTATTGTAAACTGCCGCATTTTTTACTAATTGCCTGTTTTCGCTAAAATTACTTTTCATCAAATTATTAATCTGCGGCAGCTCTGCAAAAGATAAAGTAGTGCTAATAGTTCTGCATCGATAACTGTAAACATCATATAATGGACTTATACTGCCAACAACCTGATGTGTATTATCTGCCATAATTAGAATCATGCTACGCTTTGGAGCCTTTGGTCATGCAGTGCCCGCCAAAAGCGAGTGAACCTTCCTAGTACAGTAGCAGTTCGGGTATTCATTCATCTAGCACAGTAGTCCACGGGGCATTTTGCGTTTTCTTCCCAAAAAAACCTACTTTATAGCGTCTAATTTACATTATTTTTGCATCAAAGATGCCGAGTTTTCTAGATTCTTTACCTTTTGCTTCATAAATTTCAACGGTAAATTAAAATTACAGATATGATTGTCTGTTATTTAAAAACCGATATTGCAGAATTCATCAATTGTATATTTCAGCTGATTATGGAGAAAAATTTGATTATTTATTAGGTTACAATATTTTGCGGCGCTGGAAAGGTTATTCAGGGGTTGGCTGTTACTCTGAGATGCCGGGGTTGTGAGTCCCGCTACTCTCCATGCACATGGTCGAACCGACAGACTTCTACATATTCCTTTTACGATGTGGAGCAGCCGTTCACTGATGTCTCTCAGGACATTTACGTCTGCAGGAAATTTGCCCAAGAAATCGTGAATAACATGTATGCTTCGGCTACGTTGTCTCCAGCTTTGCTAATTGTACAGTACTTATTATTTAGATTTTTTAATCACGCAACTTACGACGGAATCGCGGAAACTATGAAGTACACATATGGTTGGAATAAATGTGAGTCATAAGTGTCTCAATTAATACAAGACAGTTTCAGGCCAGTTTAAAAGCGTTGAGTGTGTCTTGTTTCGTCTCAGTGTTCTCGCGAAAAACCGTGGCGGTTATTTTCCTGCGACACGAGATTGAATGCGACATCAGAGAGCAGAAGATCACCTTCCAGTTTGAAGAGCAGAGAAGTGTTTTGCAATATTTGGACAAGCGTATGGACGAGATCTTCGCAAGCACATACGAACACCGCTGTTCTGGCGAGTGCGTAGCCAAAGGGTGTGGAAGACTGTTTATTATGGACGGACTTTGGAAAATCGTGTTCCGGCATTGTATAGCAGAAGTGCGGGTAAGTAGCCGCTGGGTGTGTTATACCATTCAGTAGATCTTCCTTATTAGGTCTATTTACCGATCATAGTGTTGCTGCTAAACTATATCAGCATTATAAAATAGTTTCCAGCCCCATCGTTGTATGTAAGCGTTTACACGAACTGTCATTGTTTTTCGTGATTTATGAATAACTATCTACCGCCAGACTAGAACGTACAAGTGGTCAGCTAATATATGCAACTGACTTAACCTCATCAATGTTTACATTAAAGTCGCCGTGTCTCTGATGATTATTAAATATTCATGACCTCGAATTCATGATTTGGCTTTTTCAGAATTTCGTTGAAGGAATTTCTTTGATTAACTTTCCTCGAGTTTGCACGCATTCGCCATGTGGCAGGTCCCTGTTTTGTCTGAAACACCGTATCTTTGATAAAGAAAGCGGAACGGAAACCGATCGAATCACTATTCATATGGCAGGTAAATAACTGCTGAGGTTATTTTCTAGATACAAATGGGTATTTAGGCGGAATTTTTCATTGATAGTGGATAGTGGCCATTCATTAATCGTGGCCATTCGTGGATAGCTGTACTTGTGGCTATTCTGTGCAGACTGCATATACAGTATTCGTTGTCGATTGTGCTATCCACTGGTGACAGTAAACTAATAATCAATCGTGGATGTTAGTATGCTGATGCTGTAGATACGTCTGCCGTAGATAGGCACTTTCGTCAGCCTGTCGTAAAATAACGAATCCACTATCGATTGGTTATATCCTCGTACAGAGCACTTCAAGTGGTGCTGTGCATTTATTTTTGCTACGTCTTGTTCGCTTTTGGATCTGTAAAATGTGATTGCTCAACGCACAGTTGTCGCTTAAGTCAAGAAAGATATTCAAGTCTATATATACTTTGTAAGGTTGGTGCCGCCAGTCTTCGATTGTTGCAGGGGTTTCCAGGGCTCTGCAGACTAAAGCAAGAATCGACATCGACTCGATTCTAAGCGGGGAAGTAGATGCTGAGCCTGGAGACATTGCCTGTCGAAAGTTTGACCCCAAGCTCGGTTGCAGAAAAGACAAAGGAGAGAATCAGCGCGGGCATTTGTACAGTCGCGGTTATCTGTTTCTTGTTGGACCAACGGGACATATTTTCAGCTTTGCTCCCATCTACAGGTACACTAGCTCATGATCCTGTTGGCACACTGTGTTGAACGAGGGCACCACGACATTTCGCCAATTACGATTTGTCGCAGAACATTTAGCCGCAAACATATCGCCGAAAGGTCATCTTGCCAGGCGACGGACAATTAGTTTAATGGACATCCCGACGGTAAATAAAAGTCACCGACCAACTAACTGGAAGTTCGTCTGAAAAAGCGTTGCCTTTTTGAAACATTAATCCGAGCGCGCACGCGCAAACACATTCTAGAAAAATGAACTCATCACACGCTTTGCAAATATTCCTATTACTGCAAATTATCGTCCTGAATTTCACGGAAGTTTACAGACAAAATCGCAATGCAACGGCGTCTTTGCACTGGCTCGGCATTAGTACAATGACTGCATTCCATCCGCAAATAACAGCAGTTTGCACGGTTGCGCATTACCACAACACAGCAACTAGAATTACCTGCCCATTCTCGCGAAACGAAGAATAGTCATTTACCGAAATCAAATCTACCGTTGTTTCATTTGAAGAAATGCTGGGACAGAATGAAGAAGAATATGATACAACGAAGAAAAGCTTTATGTTTTTTTTTTGCTTTTCTACTACTGTTTGTGCTAGCGTTCTGATAGCAATTACTAAATTGCAGGGGACAAATAATTGCTGTATGATACGAAAGCAGTACTTCGCTTTGCCCATTATTTTAATCAGTACCGCTTTAGGGATCAATATATTAATCACTTTTACTGCATAGATGCAGTGCTGGTCTTACTGCATAGATTGCACACTGATAAGCTGCGTAGGCTGCATAGACTGAATGGTAATGCATAGACTGCATTTCAGTCAGCCGTGTTGTTCATGTAGCCGCCCGCCACAAAGGCTCTCAATTCGGTAAAGTGATTAATATATTGATCCCTAAAGCGGTACTGATTGAAATAATGGGCAAGGCGAAGTATTGCGAATGACATGCGTTTTTTTCCAGAGCTGAAAGTCTTGGGCAGGTGTACCTTTTTATTGTCAGCGCACTCTATGAGTTGCTGCAAAAAGTTGCGCCGGAAGAGTGGGGAAACATCTTTGTATGTTATGATAACATCTGTCAACTTAACCGACTGAAAGCTGCAGGTGAGCCTTTGCCTTTCCCCGAGCCCTTCGATCAACTGTGGAGTCGTGTATCCAAAATCGTGGATGGGTTGCACATTCAGAACCACAAGGATCCTAAATGTAAAGAAAAATACCATCCCAATAAGTACTCAGCGAGCCATCCTACTCTCACTGAACGAAATACCATGGCTGCCGAGCAGACGTTTTCTTGGTTGGCCAAGTACAAGAAGCAGTTAAATGCGATGACTAAAACCAGGCAGTTTTTTTTCATTCACCGAATGGCAGTGCGTCGGAACGATTATCTCTCGAATTGTTTAGCGGAAAATAACCGGCCTGTTGGAGGAACCATGCGCACCTTCAAGGAAAAGTAGCCACATTTCGATCCGCAGGGGCATTTCTTCCATTGGGTACAGCAGCCATCCTAAAATGGAAGTACTAAAAAATTGTAATGAGCAATGGTTTAGTTGGCCTAACCTTAATATCTTTGCATTGTTGCTAATTTTTTTGGCGTTTCGTAACAGGTGATTTTCTGCAATTTGCAACAAAAGCTGCTAATGAGTTCGCAAAATTTCGAACGCAGAACAGTGTCAATGTGTTATGATTGTCAAAACGTTATAAAATTTTCCTTGCTATACAGTTTACGGATGCAGTGGCTGATGCCAGACCTAGCTCAGAAGCAGCTGAACTTACGTACAGGCTTTAAAAAACGCGCTGCTGGAGAACTAATAAAATTTTTATTTGTCTTCTTAAGCGCAGATAAAAACAGTTCATACGGCCGGCGTGCCACCATATAGATTGCGATAACAAACTGGAGATGACAATGGCTAGCTTCAGTGTTTCGTGTAGCTCAGGTTAACAAGTCGCTTTTCTTACTAATTTTCGTTTTGCTTTCCGACAATTTGCTGTACGACAATGTTGTTAACTACCACGAGTTGCTAACCGACAGATTGCTACCTAAGTTCGCTTTTCTACAATTTCACTGCGCGACGTTTTGCGGAAACTATTTTGTTGGCCGACCATCGGTCAGGTTCCTGGGTTTCTCAACTACCGGTGCGTGTTTACTGGATAGCTTGTTGCTTAGGGCTCAAAGTGCTTCCGTCGGTGCTCATTTTATAGAATTACCAGTTTGCCCAGGTTTAGTTCTTGTAATCCCGGTGGTGTATGTAACATAAGGTTTTTTTTATGTTTCTCATACTTTCTTATTTTTGCTTAGGTGTTATTTGATTTTAGATCTCAAAGAATTTTTACTGGGTTTGGGGAAGCTGTTTTGTCGGGCATCAGAGTGTTGTCAGCAAAATGTCAGCGCTCAACGAATTGTCGGTAAATATTTTGCCGGTCAGCAAAACGTCTGCAAAATAGCGGGTAGCATATCGTCAGTGGGCCGCCCTAACTAGTGCGATTTTTCCATAAAGCCACAATGCGTATGGGTCAATTGTCTGCAGTATCACCTACTATTACCGATTCAGATTCCATCTGCAAGGCACACTAGGAATTTTTTCGTGGTATGCTAAAAGTAACTTTTATCGTACCTTGACAACGATTTATCAATATTGCTATGTAGTTCATCAAAGGTACTTCTAGTACTAGCCCATCGTGTAATGATAACTATGTGAAAAAGTCGAAGTAATAATCGACCGAAGCGTAGCGAATGTCTAGGTTGAGGCCGTTACGAAAGCTCGTTACGGAAGCTGGTAAGGGAAAAATAACTATGACGCCCTTACCGCAGCCCGGGTCTACGACGTTGTCGTTTGTTGCCGCGACGAAGCGTGCATATACAGCGGTACCGTAGTTTTAGGTTTCTTTCCGTTGCAGATAGGATTTCTGGTAGAAAAAAATCGTAACAAAATAGCGCTATGGCGTCCGCCATTTCATTGCTACAAGGCCATTAATGGCTGCCGTGCCGTGCTTTTGCGGGCCTATACAAAATGACTCAGCTGGTACGTCATGGACGAAGCATATCGCTGCGCAGCGATCTTTAGTTGCCCGACGCATTAAAATTAACTGCGATGGTACTGCAACTTCTGAATCCTGCCCGTTACGGACGTTCATCGCAAAGTGACGCTTCGATACCGCAGCAGCCACTATAATGCCGTTGCTGGCTGCCGTGTTGTTTCTGGCCCTTGCAGGGCTGGATTTTTAATTTCTGTTCGTTTGGAAAGTTGTACCTACCAACTTGTTTAACAGCTTGAGCATCAGTATCTTCGGTCTCCTCGTGGAGATATAGGAACCCGGGGTTTTACTAAAGAAAATATATCACCTGGCAAATGGTGCCGAATTCGGTTACTTGCACGGAAACAATTAATTTCCCGCCTTAACACCTGGTTGCATTATTTTACAAGCGCATGTTGTTAAATAAGATGTGAGAATTGGCGTAAAAACCATTTGGGCGCGCAACATCCGACCGGGAGTTATGGCTGCAAGAAAAATACAAAGTTTAAAAGCAAGGTGTAATAAAGGTTTCATTAGGGACCGATCTCCTTCACACTTTGCGAAAAAATGCAAATAAGCATAAAGATCATTTTGGCACGGAGTCATTTTTTACTTCTAAAGCGGACTTTAAAATTTTGAATATACTCGTACATTTAAATATGTTAAGATGGAAGCTTGGTTTCTTGTCAAAAGGATCTTTAGGTTTCCGTGCGATTCTTTGGAAAAACGATCGGTCGATAGCGAGACTTCTGGTGCCTTTTTGTTTTTAATTCTTCGATTATATTTTTGTGCCCAGTCCCTTCTCATGTTAACTGGGACAAAATATTTTCTTTATGTGATCTATATAGTGAGTGGTGCTCGTTGATGTGCATTTTGACAGATAAATAAAACAACAAGGATATTTTATTCATATCTCTTCAACCGAATGGTGCGCGCACACACGGTTTTCACATCGCTGTAAACAAAAATCATTTGGCAATAGATCGCAATAAACCGATTCAAAAAAAGTCTTTGGGAGTGCGGGAGATTAAAACTTTTTTTGGATGTATTCAAATTTAGCTTCATGTACCGGGGTCACTTCCCTTAATAAAAACATAAATTATTCAACACAATTAAAGTTCTACCGCAAACATAGATTCTGATTCGGAACATACGCAAATGCTTTTTGTTGACCTCCCAGTTTGTCATGCCAAAAACTGCGTTAAACTTCTTTCCAAAATGTCCGAATTTCACGCTGCTTAATACTTAACTCTCATTAAAAAAACTGCTTCGCAAAATCTTATATAAGGGCTCCCAACGCATTACACTAATTACTGCAGTCACATTACTGGGCTCCCCGCTCGTTAAAACGCCTGCATCCTATCCGCATGCGGCGCAGTGCACTTGTACGAATCGGATTTTTGGCTTACCAGTTAGTCGTAAAGTGCACTTTAATTGTAGTCTCAAATTGTACTTTCCGTTTCACAGCCGTTTTAACGAGCGGAACGTCCAGATACGATACGTGATTATAATGTGCTGGGAGCCCATTTATTATAAGATTTATCGAAGTACACATGACAAACAGAAAAAATTGCAGCTATAGATATATTTTTTTAAAATATTGTTATGGGCTACAGTATGCAGTGGAAAAACATGAAAAACTTACAGTAACCGTCCAACGAGGCGCAACAGTGTAGCGCACCGTTCCTGTGTTGCGCTTGTTAGGCCGTTCTAAGCCCGTAGCATCGTGTTGCGGCTGTTAAGGTGTGCAGAAGACCAGTGCAGCATACGGGCTAGCACTGTTGCGGCCCGTTGCTGCACGTTGCGGCTTATAAGCCGTGTTGCGGCTGTTGCGGCGTTGCAGCAGCCAAGTGCAGCACACGGGCTAGCACGGTTGCGGCCCGTTGCTGCACGTTGCGGCTTTTAAGCCGTGTTGCGGCTGTTGCGGCGTTGCAGCAGCCCAGTGCAGCATACGGGCTAGCACGGTTGCGGCCCGTTGCTGCACGTTGCGGCTTTTAAGCCGTGTTGCGGCTGTTGCGGCGTTGCAGCAGCCAGTGCAGCATACGGGCTAACTGTTGCGGCCGTTGCTGCACGTTGCGGCTTTTAAGCCGTGTTGCGGCTGTTGCGGCGTTGCAGCAACAGTGCAGCGCATAGCTAGCACGGTTGCGGCCCGTTGCTGCACGTTGCGGCTTTTAAGCCGTGTTGCGGCTGTTGCGGCGTTGCAGCAGCCTAGTGCAGCATACGGGCTAGCACGGTTGCGGCCCGTTGCTGCACGTTGCGGCTTAAGCCGTGTTGCGGCTGTTGCGGCGTTGAGCCCAGTGCAGCATACGGGCTAGCACGGTTGCGGCCCGTTGCTGCACGTTGCGGCTTTTAAGCCGTGTTGCGGCTGTTGCGGCGTTGCAGCAGCCCAGTGCAGCACGGGCTAGCACGGTTGCGGCCCGTTGCTGCACAGCCGTCGTTGCGGCTGTTGCGGCGTTGCAGCAACAGTGCAGCACACGGGCTAGCACGGTTGCGGCCCGTTGCTGCACGTTGCGGCATTAAGCCGTGTTGCGGCTGTTGCGGCGTTGCAGCAACAGTGCATACGGGCTAGCACGGTTGCGGCCCGTTGCTGCACGTTGCGGCTTTTAAGCCGTGTTGCGGCTGTTGCGGCGTTGCAGCAACAGTGCAGCATACGGGCTAGCACGGTTGCGGCCCGTTGCTGCACGTTGCGGCTTTTAAGCCGTGTTGCGGCTGTTGCGGCGTTGCAGCAGCCCAGTGCTGGGCTAGCACGGTTGCGGCCCGTTGCTGCGTTGCGGCTTTTAAGCCGTGTTGCGGCTGTTGCGGCGTTGCAGCAGCCCAGTGCAGCATACGGGCTAGCACGGTTGCGGCCCGTTGCTGCACGTTGCGGCTTTTAAGCCGTGTTGCGGCTGTTGCGGCGTTGCAGCTGCCAGTGCACAGCATGCACGGGCTATACGGTTGCGGCCCGTTGCTGCACGTTGCGGCTTTTAAGCCGTGTTGCGGCTGTTGCGGCGTTGCAGCAGCCCAGTGCAGCATACGGGCTAGCACGGTTGCGGCCCGTTGCTGCACGTTGCGGCTTTTAAGCCGTGTTGCGGCTGTTGCGGCGTTGCAGCAATAAGTGCAGCACGGGCTAGCACGGTTGCGGCCCGTTGCTGCTCGTTGCGGCTTTTAAGCCGTGTTGCGGCTGTTGCGGCGTTGCAGCAGCCCAGTGCAGCATACGGGCTAGCACGGTTGCGGCCCGTTGCTGCACGTTGCGGCTTTTAAGCCGTGTTGCGGCTGTTGCGGCGTTGCAGCAAGTGCAGCACGGGCTAGCACGGTTGCGGCCCGTTGCTGCTCGTTGCGGCTTTTAAGCCGTGTTGCGGCTGTTGCGGCGTTGCAGCAGACCAGTGCAGCATACGGGCTAGCACGGTTGCGGCCCGTTGCTGCACGTTGCGGCTTATAAGCCGTGTTGCGGCTGTTGCGGCGTTGCAGCAGACCAGTGCATACGGGCTAGCACGGTTGCGGCCCGTTGCTGCTCGTTGCGGCTTTTAAGCCGTGTTGCGGCTGTTGCGGCGTTGCAGCAGACCAGTGCAGCACACGGGCTAGCACGGTTGCGGCCCGTTGCTGCTCGTTGCGGCTTATAAGCCGTGTTGCGGCTGTTGCGGCGTTGCAGCAGACCAGTGCAGCACACGGGCTAGCACGGTTGCGGCCCGTTGCTGCTCGTTGCGGCTTTTAAGCCGTGTTGCGGCTGTTGCGGCGTTGCAGCAGACCAGTGCAGCACGGGCTAGCACGGTTGCGGCCCGTTGCTGCACGTTGTTGCGGCTGTTGCGGCTTATAAGCCGTGTTGCGGCTGTTGCGGCGTTGCAGCAGACCAGTGCAGCACACGGGCTAGCACGGTTGCGGCCCGTTGCTGCACGTTGCGGCTTATAAGCCGTGTTGCGGCTGTTGCGGCGTTGCAGCAGACCAGTGCAGCACACGGGCTAGCACGGTTGCGGCCCGTTGCTGCTCGTTGCGGCTTTTAAGCCGTGTTGCGGCTGTTGCGGCGTTGCAGCAGACCAGTGCAGCATACGGGCTAGCACGGTTGCGGCCCGTTGCTGCACGTTGCGGCTTATAAGCCGTGTTGCAGCAGACCAGTGCAGCATACGGGCTAGCACTGTTGCGGCCGGTTGCGGCGTTGCGCCCTTTGTATACGGTATGCTGAACTTTATGCAACGAACGGATGCGCAACGCGAATCTTGGTCCGCAACGCGACAGTGACGTTTAAATCCAATGTTGGTACAGATTGAGCCACTTCTGGGTAACGTTACCAATTGTTACAGCGTTGAAGCGTAATAAATCAGGCATCTGAAAAACGGCCGCCTTAAAACAAGGAAAGAATTACTCAATGTTAATCGGTGCTTTATTTCGGACATTTTAATTCCCATGCTCCCCACAACCGATTAGTCGGCAATGCGGCATAAAGGCGGCACAAGTGGTTAGATGACAAAATAATGGCGCTTACTGGACTAGATTGGCGATTCTTTACGTAATCCAACCAGCTTATTAATGATAATCCCATTTGTTTCAACGTGCAATTCGTGGAATGGGAATGAGCCATTAGGCCCACTCAATTATATGTGAACTGGTTGGGGAAGATAAGGCGAGACTAATTATGTATGCGCTACGTTTGTGGACAAATGCAGAAAATTATGCCAACCGCTCGGCAAGTGTTGCACGTAATTGCGTCTGTATAATTACTTCACTATTTCTCATATTCCGGTCACTTTGAGTGTATGGTTTCATATTCCGGTCACTCAGTCGTACGCATGCGCAGTAAGTGAGCGGCTATCTCATCCAGCAATCTAGCACTCGATATAGGTGCTAGATTGCCGCTCACTTACTGCGCATGCGTACGACTGAATGACCGGAATATGAAACCATTCATAAAAAGTGACCGGAATATGAGAAATAGCGAAGTACATGATAAACCTAACGTGCAGCATCTTCTCCGGTTTATGTGTCATATGACTGCTATTACATGACTACTTCGAGTAAATCGAGGATAAAGGGAATTTTAGCTTTGCCACGTTCCGGTTGCTCTCCTCATCGAATCCCCAGTGTGCAATTGAGCGAAACACTGAACCAAGCCCAACCGGAAACCCCGAAAGCCACAAACCCGGAAAAATCGTCCTCGTTCCGGTTTTCTTTGTTTGGACCGCTGTTAACGTGCGGAAACTCGGAAATAGAAAAGCCGGAAACCCGTCCTCGCTACGGTTTTCTTTGTCTGGACCGCTGCTAATCTGCACAAACTGCAGAAAATCAGAAAAATTCCTGTATTCTTCTCCACAAAACGAATGTAACTAGGCTGTTACAGGCACGACCTGAAGAAAAGTCGTTTGCAGGAGTTTTGGTGCTGTCGGTGTGCAGCATGCTTTGTATCAGTCTTCGCTGTAACACTTGGTGCAGCTCCACAGGCTGCTGCACCGTGCATCCGTGTTGACGTTGGCATCCCTTATTAATAAAAAAAACGGCATTATGCTACAGTGCTACTTACCCGGCGATGCTAGCATAGTCATACATGAGCTATCCGCGTATCCTGGTGGCAACGCACCCACCAGTGCTCTCGGCCATAAAAAGCCAAAAAGATGCAGTTAAAAACGCTGGAGTACGTACTGTGTCTTGTACTTCCATTCACCGGTGCATTGAAAAAAACTTCGAAGGCGTTGACACACTATAACCTCCGGGAAAACGGTTAACAGTTTTTTTGCACGACTGTTTAGCTAATGCGTGGGTTCTGCTGAACAGAAACATTTCTTATTCAGTCAGACGTCACCGCATCAGCGGCGAAATATTACTGCTTATAAAATCAGTTAGAAATTTTGGAGAAACCAGCTTTTACACTTGCCGGTTTCTCTCATATACAAAATGCAGTGTAAAATACTGGCAATTGCACTTATTTTTATCGGTGAGACAGGATCAGTTCCTTCTATTGTAAATAATCTGCTAGAAAAAAACGCAATTAATCTGCTGCATTTTTTCTGGTATTGTTTCTGGCGGTATTTTTCTGGTATTTTTTCTGGCAGCATTTTTTCTGGTATTTTTCTGCTGCACCGTAGTATACTGTGTTCTTCATTACATGTATAATATTGATTGTGAAATGTTTTTGCAGGCAGCTCATCGGTCTCATCGGGGCAATCGTGCTCGGCGCATTACCCAACATTAGCTGCCACTCCGGGTGGCGACGATCCCACCCAGGTTAGTTATATATACACGTGGCCTCCAGCGGAATCTGTCGGGTGGCGAAGTAAATGTAGCGTGTAACTTACGCCACGTGGTGTTAGTATCTCAAAAGTGCCGAGACCGGCAACGTGGCAGATGCTGGGACGACAGCTGGGTGGTGGCGAATGCCGGTCCCATACACCGTTGTCCAATATGCGTATTAAGGGAAGTGGGTCGGTACATGGCACCAAATTCGTGTACTTTTCACATTCGAAATTTTTCACATTCGCGCACTCCCAAACCTTTTTTTCCCTTGTTTTATGACATTCTGTAGCCGAATGATTTGTATACACTGGGGTGAAAACCGTTTGTGCGCGCAACATCCGGTGCGGGAGTTACGGCTGTTAAAAGATCGATTCCAAAAGTTTAAATGCATCGAGGCATACGAAAAGTCTCATTATGGACCGATCCCTTTCAGATTTTGCACATAAATGGACATACCCACAAAGAATGTTTTTACACCGATCCACTGTTCTACCATGTTTTTCAAATTTTAAAATGAATTTCAAAAATTTTAAAATTTAGTTTGAAATTTGAAAAACACCATGGAAGTTTGGATCGGTGTAAAAACCATCTTCATGGTTAGGTGCATTTACGTGCAAAATTTATGGGAGATCGGTCCATAATGAGACTTTTGGTACACCTGAACGCATTTAAACTTTTTGGAATTTTCTAGCAGCCATAACTTCCAAACCGGATGTTGCGCGCACAAACGGTTTTCACGCCAGTGTATACAAATCTTTTGGCTACAAACGTCATCAACCGAAACAAAACTGTGCTTGGGAGTGCGCGAAAGCGAAAGTTTTTATGGATGTACACGAATTTGGTGCCATGTACCGGCCCACTTTTCTTAAAATCATTTGTCTAAACAAGTCATAAAACAGTACATAAAAATTATTTGAAAATGCCCGAAAGCGAAAGCGCTCGAGCAAGTACACGAATATGGCAGTCAGTCAGCACCCAGTAGAAACTACCGAGTAACAAACTTAACTGCCGCCGCCGGCAACGTGTTTTTTTGCATTTTGGCTTTTGTTTTTCGCTTGTTTGTGCACGCATTTTGCTGTGTCATAGTAGTACGATACTGTCGAGTCGTCGACATTAATGTCGCTAGCAACGAGGTATTGGCTCATCGGCTTGTAGCTAATAAAAGTCAGGGTCGCAAGACGGCACTATTTTGACAGAGTGTCGGCACTTGGTATATTTACCGGAAGCATGGCGAGGTCAGCATCAATTCGCGCATTACCGTCACTAACCTCGGCGCCACCATTGAGCCGCTGACCAACCTGACAGCGTACCAGCTGTACCTGCAAAGCAGCTGGACAACAGCGGCCAACAGCACGTGTCAATATGAAATCTGGACAGGGACATATTTAATCAACGGCATGGCAATCGGCAATGATGTGGCATCCAGGGATGGATACAGCATTAATCGTAGGTGTCCTATCGATAAATTTCCAAACACCCTAAATGGAGTTCTACCTACTGACCTGAGTAGTGTCTTTTAATAATGCCTGTTATGTGTAAACGGGGCAAAATTACAAGAACATGCCCATAGAAATGGATAAATCAGGATCAGAGACACTAATAGTTAATTGAATGTAAATAAAATTAAGTAACACAAGAACTTTCTTATCGGGTGGTTATTACGGGCGTCTGCAGCATGTGGGATGCAATTTAACGGTTTGATCGAATTACGACAGATTTGATTGGGAATTCCATTCTGTATCACGATTACCAGAAACTAATGATTGGATATGGATGTATGATACCGAAGACTGATGGAACGTGCGATACGCCGGTTATCTGGGCGGAGACCCGCACCCGCCCGGACCAGTTATCGGCCGGCGAAATGGCCGCTTTCGACAGCATCATCAACATCACACTACAGCCGTACTGCGTGACGACCCAGGATCTTCCGGTACAGGTTTACGATGATGCCAAGCCTAGTTGTCCGTCCATCGATCCGTCATCGTGCATGTCAACAATCATCCAGGGAATAAAAGCCAGTGTCCCATCCAGTAATACGACAGGTCAGAAACCAAAACGTGTACAGCACCGAAGATTTGCAAGTGCTCGATAAAATACTGGTTCAACTCTGTTACAGCATCAGTTTCCTCCGTCGCGTTCTCTTACAGTTCGCCTGCTTCCACTTGTCATTGGCCGGTTTATATATATCCAAAACTGGCATATGATCCGCAAACAGTAAGTTTACAATTCATTTTAATTGCTTCTGCTTTACAACAACTGGTTTCTGAACACAGCGATCGAATGGTAAAATATGTACTTTAAAGAATCGATAATTACGGAACATCCCGCAGGTGGCCGGTCTGTGGTGGGTGTACCGCGCGGCCTTTGATGCTGAGCCAAACTCGGTGGGAATGCGGTACTTCTGGCATATCCTCGGCAGTGCTCCGTTGCCGCAGACGCCCCTCAACGGTAACTATGCCTGGGCGGAGTATACGCAGTACGACAATCCCAACGATACACAGTGTAACTATGGATACTGGACGGGCATGCTGGTCACCACCGGGCAGAATGTCGGCTTCCGCTTCATCACCAGCGACAGCGGCGACGGCATTGGTAAGACTTCACCGACAATTTACGAAGCCCACATCCTACGATTCTGTGCTCAAAACCGCAAGCTTACAAATAAAACCTAAATAGTATGTACAAGCTTGACGGGTTCTGTATTAAGCGACATGGGCGAATGATAGTTGGGGCAGTTGATCTGCCGGTACAACGACAACTTGAATGGTAATCTTTCAAAGTGGTCGTTACTTTGCAGTGCCGCTGCGTTCGATGACCATCTACCAAGACGACAAGTACGAATTCTTCTACGGCTGCTTCATCCCCAACATGCAGACGCAGATCTGCGCGTCGCCCTTCGCCATGTTCAGCGTCCGCACTGACCCGACCACCTGGTCGCAGAGTGAGAAGGACCACGTGGACAACGACATCATCACCCCGCTGATCCAGAGTTTCGGCTGTGCCGCCAAGGATATGCGCATCATGCCGCATCCCAGTGACAAAGCCCAGTGCGAATGGAAGGGCGCGACGCCCTGTTTGAACCAGTTTATTGCTGGGTATAACGAGTTACTACCACCCGTTCACGATGTGATTTATTAGCTCGCAAAGTTCAAAGAAGCGCATGTGATAAGCAAATGATAAACCTTTAGCTTCCCTTCCCCTGTTCGATATGCTAGTATATTATTTTTTGCTGTGCTACTTTTTATGAATAAGATTTCCTTATTATTGTACTATAGCCCGGTTGCACAAACTCGCTTGTACTCGCAATAGACAACAAATAAACTTAATTCTGTACTAATATTATAACATAATATGCTTTTGTGCTTTAAATGCACTGCTGCAGTTTCGTACTACAAATAAAAGATGCGCTCAGATCGTGAAAAAAAGACAGGTAAATACATGGACGGATCGAGCTTCCGATTCCATTGGAGAAAATGTTTTAAAGCAACTCTGATGACAGATTCAGAAACAGCGAATTTTTTTCATCTAGAAAGTCTTCCCCCTATTACAGGTACCTGCAACAGGGGGAAGAGAACCACTGATTTGTTGGGATTCCTCCAATGATTTTCTAGACCAAAAATTCGCTGATTCTGAATTTGTAATCCGATTTGCTTTAAAACCTTTTCTCCAATGGAACCGGAAGCTTGATCCGTCCATGGGTAAGTAAAAAGTTTAAAAAAGGTATCCCAAAGACCACACGGCGAAAGCTGCCAAGAAAATGTTGTAATCCGGTACTCGACAATGCTGTATCCCATACTGAGCGACAATTTGCTGAACACCGATAATTTACCGATGACCTTCTGAAACCAACAAGGAAACTTTCCAAAACTCAAAAGATCTAAGAAATAATTTTTAGAAAACGCAATGAAGTACCTAAAAAACAAGGATAACCTAAGAATAACCTAGCTAACATGGGAAAAACCAGAGCAATCTAGCAACTCAAAGAGCCTAGAGACCTAAGAAAAATACTACGAAATCAATCAAACCTAAGAAAAAAAATTCCAACTAACAAACCTAGGATACATACCGGCAATCTGTCCGTCAACGAAGCAGCTTCGGCAAGAAGAGAGACAGCAGAGTTGTAGGGATACGAATTGACAGGCAGCAGATCACTGGGCATATCCGTCCAGATCACTGTGCTCGTTATCGATGTCCGCAAACAGAACACGAAAAGATTATCTCTTCCTAGCCTCCGCTTAAGTATGCCGCTCGTCGAGTATGCTGGAATTTTAATTCCATCTGCTGCTACACCAGCTGGAAACGCATCAGACAACTGCTGTAAAAAATAATCCGGCATTCCCTGATGGATCCACGTTAATAGGCAGCTGAAGGATGAAATCCGAGCTCTTAGTCACAACACCTGATTGGTCAGCTAATGACTTGCACATCATTTTTAATTTCTACTTTTGTATAGAAAATTGGCTATTTGTACTGAAAGTAGCAATTCACAGTGTTGCTTATATATTGGAAAAACCGAAGACACGACTGCAATGAATCATGGTTTATACCAACATGTTCGATGCCAAAGTAGAATATAATTATGCTGGTACAAACTACAAAAAGGACTATGTATCGTAAATGCGTACGAGTTCCAGCTGAATTAAAAGATATTAACCCGTTGACGGGCATTGGCGTCAGGGCGCAACATGGTTTTCTGAATTTTTTTCCCAGGGATTGCGAACAGTTAATGAATATTAATTAGCATAATTAGCAATAAGAGACTTTAAAGCAGCAGTAAAAACATAATTCAAACTTGCATTTCAAGTCAATCACAAATGACCGTTGCCCGAAAATGGCTAATTTCGGACTTTCCAAGCTCTCGTACGTCTTGCTAATTAACTAATTAGTGGATGAATAATTAAACCGCAGATAAATCAACAAGGTACAATTAACAACGTTCAATCCAAAATTGACTAACACGGGTTCTGTAAGTTTAACAGTGGAAGACCACAGTCCGTCAAAAACTTGTGTTGCGTGCCAACACCATTGCCCATGAAGGGTCTCAGATACACGGGCGGGTGCCATTTTGACTGTTTCCCTATAATCACGTAGTCAGATCAAGTTACTGTCGGTTCGTACGCAAAGCATGCGCCACGCAGTTCTGTTGGTCGGAAGCTTGTGAAAAGCGCTTTCGCGTATCAACACCCCGGGCGGTCGGCGAAAAACAAAATCGCCTCAAAACTTTGTCTGCTTCAGGAAAACAGAACGCTTAGGGAAGCCGAACATGGTAGTCCTGATTGTAATGTTGATGCATTGTTTGGACATGCGAGAGTGGCGCAGCTTTGCTGAAAAGATGATTTAGAGTTTTGATCAGTCTCGGGCGTTTAAAAACAACAGTAACTGTACACGGCAGGTGCACGTTGACGTTGGTGATTATGACCTTTGCGGCAGCCTAACTAGTTTCTACCGATCGCTAATGCGTTCCAAAAAGTGCTAGTGACCACTAATTCACATTTTACGCCAATGACCACTGCAGCTGGACTATCCGCGCCTCATTTCAGACACTGGCACTTGCGGCCACACCAAGGAAAAATGCAAGCGCGCCAGTATAAAGTCGGCTAGGCGTGCCGGAAATGCAGGATATGCAATGTTAAACTTCCAAAATAATGCTTCGTACAGTCTTATATGAGAGTATAATGGAAGTTTTGAGAAAAAAATATCGTTAGCATCGTTTATTTCCTCTATTCTATCTGTAATAGTGGTCAAAATACATGGTAACAGAATTTGGAAGTTTTTAATTTTTTGCTGACCAGTGGTCACCTTGTTGACCACTACTATACTCTTGTTTTAAAGTGCTTTTTTTGTTCTATTTAATAAAGTTATTGCTTTTATGTAATTCCCGTTCGCCTAATTATTACAAAATTAAATGTTTTCATGCTGTGGACTGTCCGTGGGCATTGGCGTTGGCAAACACCCTAGTCATCACGGCTGACCTATGGTCAGCACAAGCTTACAAAAAGTTCCCTTTCTTAACTGATTATTTTCATCGGGAAATCCCGATTTTCAAAAGGAAACTCGCATTCCTTCGGGTACCGCCCGCTGGAGGGTTAAGTAGGTTGCGTTTTGCACGGCCTCATGATTAACGGCAAAATTAACGACGATTTTAGCGTTGTTAATTCAACGTTCCGTTGATTCGAATAAGAGGTTGCGTTATAAACTAAACAATTTACTGCTCCTGGTATTAACGTGAGGAACTAGGTATCAAACAGTCTCCGTCAAATATTGTATTCAGTCTTGAAAAACTTAAAACAACTTTGTTTACCAGCGTAAAAATAACAAAATAGATCTTTTTTATATGGCACACACACTTTAGAAAGAAATGTGGTTAAAGTTTCCGCGGAGACGTTCTAAAAACAGTCAATCCATTCTAAAATGCGTGACTAGCAGTTGCACTAGAGAGATAGTTGGGGCCGTCAGGCGACAAAGTTGCTGCAGAACTCTAGCTGCTGAAACAGTGAAGTATTCGTGTAACTGTGTTTTGATTTTTGCAGTAATTTTTACATTTATGAAGAAGTAAATTATTTTTCTTTCAATGATCTAGCTGGCAAAAATCTCACTGACAGCAGTGCAACTGTCGAGACTGGTACGATTTTCGAAAATTCGAGTCGAGTGGGCAACTCAGGATTGAATGCCCAGGCCGAAATTCACTGGGTAGATTGTCTCGCCTATGCAGTCTTCGAGCTCAATGGTCTATGTTAGCACAGTCGTTCATTACTGAATTTCAACGTCGTTATTAACGAAACGATACCCCTTTCTTTTCGTTAATAACGACGGGCAGTGCCGTTTAAACGTTCGGTAATCGTACCCCGTCGTTAATACTGTCGTCAATCGTATGCCTTCGTTGATACCGCAACCTGCTTATTCAAAAGAATTCACGCGTCCGTTGCCAAATTAAATAGTCCGGGTACAACTCGGTAGCCGTAAAATTAATACGAGTACGAGGCAAGCGGCAACTCTTTCCCTTCGCTTAAGTAAATTTTATCACTTTCCCCGCTGCATCTTTGCCTTGCGCAGGCGCTCACGTGATATCGTATCCATCACCAGTGTGATCAACGCTTACTTAGCCGGCGATAAAATCTCACCTGCCGCCCTCTTCGCTATATTCTTTATCAGTCTGCGTAATCAACTATAGCTGCAAACCGGTTTAGACGTGAAACGGCTGAAATCAAGTATCACGGACCTGATTTCAGCCGTTTCAGCCTTTGAAGGACCTCAAGCACGCCCGAGGTCCTTCAAAGTTTGCGAGAGAAGCATCCATTAAGCGCCCCACCGTCCACGGCTCGTCACGCCACAACCGCTGCTACTGCGCCTGCTTTTACGGCTGCTGAAGTTTTTGCTGCCATCCACACTTTTCAGCACTTTTATCCACACTTTTTCTGCTGCTGCCTTCCACGGGGCTCGGCTGCAGGACCAGATGGCTTAAGGCCTCAACATTTGCTGGACATGGTGGGCTCGAAGTTAGATGATCATAGCGGATCCCTTTGCGAAGCCATTGCCTCTATGTTGACGCTGGTTTCACAGGGAAAGATACCTGCGGATATACGGCCGATCTTCTTTGGTGGTAAATTATTGGCGTTACGCAAGAAAGACGGTGGACTGCGCCCGATAGCGGTAGGACTGTCGTTGCGCCGCCTGATCGCTAAAATTATTTTCAACAGGATAGCGGACCGGGCAACTGCTTTGCTCACTCCTCACCAGTCTGGCTTTAACGTTCGGGGCGGAGCCGAAGCTATCGTCCACGCAACCAGACATTTTATACTGTCCAAACCGGAGGATATAAAAGCGCTCGTGAAGATCGATTTTCGCAATGCCTTCAACACCGTTTCCCGAGAAATAATTTTGGATGCCGTGCATACCCATTTCCCGGAGTACGATGAATTCTTCTGGTCGGCGTATGGATATCATTCTTCTTTGTTCATTGATCAGACAGTGCTGTCGTCTGAATGTGGAGTGCAGCAGGGCGACCCGCTAGGACCTTTGTTATTTTGCCTTGCATTGCTCCGTGTGATTGCTACGCTCAGTACCGAGCTTAACGCTTGGTACCTTGATGACGGAACCCTGGGCGGAGCGCCGGCGGCAGTTGCAGAAAACTTCACTCGGGTAATCGAAGGCGCTCGTACCATTGGACTGGACATATATGAATCCAAATGCGAGCTTTTTGTATCGGGAGGCTCCGAAAGTGAACGTCAGGAAGTTATCGAGTCTTTTGTTTCGCATCATCCTCAGCTCCGTGTGATATCCAACTCCACTTTAACGCTACTAGGCGCCCCGGTTCTGGACGACGCGATTAGTGACGTCCTTGATGAGAAATCTTGTGCCATAAATAGAGCCTGCGAACGCTTGCAACTCCTTCCTCGCCACCACGCACTATATCTGCTCAGACATTGTTTGGGCGCCCCGAAAATTATATATGTGCTCAGATCTTGCAATGCCTGGAAACATCCACACCAGCTATATCAAATTGACGAGTCATTACGTTCGTGTTTTCAAGAACTCAGTAACGTTCGGGGGAACCACGACGACTATCCTTGCTGGCGACAAGCGACTCTTCCGGTTAGTCGAGGAGGAATTGGCATACGTCGTGCGGAGGAATTATCACTCCCAGCCTTCTTGGCTTCGATTCACTCCGCATTTGACTTGCTATCGTCGATGCTTCCTCAACATCCGGCAGTAGATGCATCAGAAGCAATAGAGTTGTGGAAAGTTAAAGCTCGCCAACCGGAAATGCCAGAAGTTGCCTTCCGAAAGCTGCAAAAAACGTGGGACTTGCCTCTGTGCAATGTGTCAGTTTCGGTCTTAATGGAATTATTTCGCAATGATGGTGTCAACACTGCCCGTTTACTCGCGCAGTCTAGGCCGGAAGCCGGTATCTGGCTGAATGCGCTTCCCTCAGCCCACATCGGCAATCTTCTCGACGACGAAACTATGAAAATCTCTATTGGTTTGCGTCTTGGAGCAGATATTTGCGAGCCACATAACTGCACCAAATGCCATAAATTGGTGGACAAGCTCGGACACCACGGGCTATCGTGCAGCTACTCAGCCGGTAGACATGCGCGCCACGGAGGACTAAACAATATCGTGTGTCGGGCTTGTGTTTCAGCCGGAATTCCAGCTAAGCTTGAACCACGCGGCACATCGTCAACTACAGATCAACGCCCAGACGGTTGTACAACTTTCGCCTGGAAAAGAGGGATGTGCCTGGCCTGGGATGTAACGTGCGTCGACACAATGGCCCTTTCCCATCGCCCGTCAACGTCGGTTACGGCAGGTGCTGCTGCTGTTGAAGCAGAAGAAAAGAAATCTCGACATTATGCATATTTATGTACAAGGGCGCTACATCTTTTCTCCGATTGCCTTCGAGACGATGGGACCCTGGGGCCCGTCGGCTATCGCCATTGTAAAAGAGTTGGGCAAAAGACTGCAGCAGCACACGGGAGAGCGTCGATCGCATGAATTTCTGCGCCAACGGCTTTCACTGGAAATTCAGCGCGGAAATGCAGCATCTATCCTTGGCACGATGGACGGAGTGGATAGTTTAAATGAAGTTTTGCTGTTGGGAATAATATCACGTTTTTGTTTTTCTTCCACCTGATCTGTACGTTGATTATTAATAAAGAATGTCAGTATCACGTGAGCGCCTGCACACGGGTAAGATGCAGCGGGGAAAGTGATAAAATTTACTAAAGCGATGGGAAAGGGTTGCCGCTTGCCTCGTACTTAAACTGCAAAAGCGTCCGGCGAACGGTTTATCAGACCGAACGATTTTGTCGGTTGCATTGCGGGCAAATCAGACAGCAGACCAACGGTTTTTATATTGGTGCACATTCGTATTATCGCCATCTGAAAGGAGGTAATTAAGACGAAATGCCATTATTATTCAGCCAACTGCTACAGCCTACAGTGATACTGAAGCGCTATTGAAATTCAGCATCATGAAGCGACGGATGATCAGCTGCGCTTGCAGTTCCCAGAAGCGGTGACTGTCCTGGATCTGCTTACAGCGGATGTGTTCTTCTCAGATTTATTGTCAGAATAAACGTACAGATCACACACTACAGTCTACTTGGAAGTGCAGGCAAAACGCCAGAAACGGAAGCCGAAAAACAGCGAAAGCGGAAGCCGAAGCGAAAAAGTTTTTCACGAGCAGGTGTGCTGGTGTGGAGATTGCATGTTCCGTTTACGGCACCGCGACATTTTGCCGCGGACAACTAGTCGCAGGAATTTTGGTAGCAGACATATCACCGCCAGGTCATCTCGCCGCGCGACGTTTCGTCGCAGAACATCTCGTCGGTAGGACTTTACGCCGCGAGACTTTCGTTCGCATGGCCGTTTCGACGCAAGGAAATTTCGCCGCAAGGATATCTCGACGAAGCGACATTTCGCCTATCAGATAAATGATTTAATAAGCGAAATAAAACAGTCAGAAAAAAAACCTGAGAAATCTAAGAAACCTAAGAAAGCCTAAGAAACCTAAGAAAACCTAAGAAACCTAAGAAACCTGAAAAAACCTAAAAAAGCTAAGAAACCTGAGCAACCTAAAAAAAACCTATGAAAGCCTAATAAGACCTAAGAAAGTCCAAGAAAGACTAAGAAAACCTCAGAAAAACTAAATACAAGCCTAAAAAAACTGAAAAGCTAGTGAGAATTAAGCGCGGTGAATTATTTTGCGGCAATTAGTTGCATCGTTCGAAAAGTCCCAAGATGAATTGTCTGCGACCAGACGTCTTGCGTGGAAATGTCGCAAAGGTAAAATGTCCCAAAGCATAATGTCCCAAACCGAAGTGTCCCAGCGTCCGAATGCCCGGCGGCGAAATGTCTTTGCGGTGAAAGTCGCGCGTCGAGTTTGAGTGCGAAATGTCACACTCCCAAATGTCCGGGTTCGTCCGTTTACCACACAATGTGTCGGTCAAGCCCGGTGCTGTGGCTCTAAATCAACAAATGATCCGTGTCGTTCACCCGTCGAAAATAATTATTTTTCTTACAAAGCCGCCGCGTGTTAGCTTCCACGATCATCCGGAATAAACAAAAAACCCTGCAGCGTTGGAAAGTAATATCCGCTTCGTCGTTACAAGAGCGCGTTTTCGTCAGAGTTTTCTCAGATTACCTTGGGGTCAATTTCCCTGTTGGACTGCTTGGTTTCCTGTACCAGCTGCATCACTATGGCGGCAAAGATGATTGGATTAGTTGTCGTTTTAAGCGGTAAGTAAACTGCATCCGACCACCGTAAAATGTTTCGTCGATTTGCCTTTGCAGTTACAAATTAATTAATTCATTAAGTATCTCGTTAGTGATTTAGCATGCTATAAGTAGTTGGTAAGATAAACTAATTTACCGAATTAAATCAGTAGCCAGCCAGTTAGTTAACAAGCCATCTGACGATTATGTTGCAGTCTGTGCTGTGGCGTTGGCGGACTGGCCGATGCCATTTTGGTGGCGTTGCTTTGTCGGTTTTACAGCAACGGGGAAAAGAGATGCCAGACGAAATGCACAGTCTATTCAGAGGCCGACATCGAGAAATTAGAGAAGGCCCGCCCGGCGTTCAACGATATTCCGCAAGCACAACAGTACGATACCACGTTCGATCCGCTAATCTATTACAAATGCAGCGATTCCCCGGTCGTCAGCAAATGGAATGTCAAATCTCAGTAAGAATTTGGTGAGTAAATCCACTGAACTATTGTTAAAATAAATCCTATGTAAACGCACATCATACGTAAATTCTATACTTCAGTATATGTAAATTCTATATGCATGTGAATTTTTTTGTATTCTATGTATTCTATGTCAATTCTATGCATTTGTAGTTATTCTATGTAAAGTACGATTTACTGTTGACAACCAAGCGTAGGTTAGTGAAACTTTTTGAAGCCATGTGAAGCCTGGCTTCTTTTCATGATCCATACCGTTTTCATGATCCATAACATTTTTCATGATCCATACCGTGTCTGTCCACTTTCCACGATGGCTGTCCCTTAAGGCCGCGCTCGTAATCCGATTGTGTCAATCCACCAATGTACGTCTTCCCGGCGGCCGTGTCAAGGGATACACCGCGACAGTACCAGCCCTTGGTTCTGTCGCACGCGCCCAAGTATGTCTTCTTGTTCTTGGGTGCAGACTGCAGTGCATTCTTATTTGTAAACGCCAGCGCTGTAAATAACCAAGATACTACACTCAGTTAATTGTAACAATAACGAAATGGCTACGCGCGAGAGCCTCCCCCGCTATGAGTTTTGGCTACGCGCGAGAGTTTTTCCGCACAAAAAACTACCAACGAACAATTTAAATCAGTGCGTTTATCACCATATGGCAACCAAAAATTACGGGAGGGTCATCTTTTAGTGCAAGAAATAAAAAATCTGACCGTACCGGCATTTTACATTTTCTGATAATTCAAGTATTCACAACCATCAGCCGATATGGCCTCAGAACTTACAGTGGGAAATAGAAACGAATCCTACGCGGAGGTTTTGAGAGCGGTGGAGCAATGGAGCCAGCGAACACATCAAGTCTTTACAAATCCCGGCGGTAATGCGAAAACTTCAAAGACGCATCCGCTTCGTGACACGTTCCCCTACAGCTCAGTGAAGCTGGTCTGCAAGAAAGCTGACGCTTGCCACCCACACCGGCGGAATTCAGTCCCCACAAAGAAAAGCATAACGACGACTCTGAAAAGTGACTGCCAGGCGATGGTCCGTCTTAAGCTTGTGAACGGCATGATGGAGGTTATTCACCTGCCGGCTTTAGAAGACCATAACCATGAAGTGACGGAAACGATCGCCCAACATTTTCCAGAAAGAAGGCGCCTGTCCGAAGCGGAAAAGAACACTGTGGAGCAGCTAATCGAGAGTCGGGTGCCACCTCGAATTATAACCAACACAAGCAACGCAACGCGCGGGTCGACCGGTGCGACCGGCACTCCTATAACCAAAGACATTTTCAACCAAGGAACGAGAACACAGATGGGAAAGAGACAAGGTCGAGAAGAACATGAAATTCTTACAGAATTTCTACGAGAAATTAGCCAGCGGGATGCGAGCGGAACATTCAACGTGGTCGTTGCAGAAGACGAAACGAACGTTTTGCGCATTGTGTTTGTGCAGACTACAGTCACGAAGCAGACTTTCACGCGCAATCCAGAGGTATAGCCACGATTTTGTGAATTTCATCATGAAGTTTTGCCATAATCATTTTAAAACCTGCACAATGCGGCTCTAGGTCATTTTCTTGGACAGCACGTATCGAATCAATATGGAGCATTATACCTTGTACGCAATGGTTGTCCAGGACGAAAATAGGTTTGGTCAGCCTGTCGCCATCGGGTTTGTGGACAACGAGCGCGCCGATACGCTAGGATTGTTCTTCGACCATGTAAAAGAATTCACGAGCTCCGCAACCAGTAAAGTGCAAGCCATTTTCGTTGACCGAGATTTCACGCAAACTGCGGTACTGCAAGAGCGTTTCCTTGACGTGCCCTACTTATTTATGCATTCCACGCAATAAAGACATGGAAGTTCCAGATCAGTTGAATGTCACGGAGAAGCAAGGTCTGCTGACGGCTTTCCGTGGTTTACTGTACGCGCCACAAGAAGGCATGTTCCAAGAACGGGAAGCCATATTTCTGCAGAGTTGCACCGACAGGCTGCGAAGTTACTACGAAAAGAATTGGGCGAAGGATTCGGCGATGTGGTGCATGGCAAAGCGGCGTGAACTGAGAACGTTTGGCAACAACACCACAAATCGAATAGAAAGGTTTTTCTTTACTGTGAAAACAGCGCTGCGCGGATCAGGACGATCGATTGCCAAACGGTTCCATCTAACAGAGTGCATCGAGATTGTCATATCCGTCATTAGCCATAAAGCCAACCTTGCAAAATATCAGGATTACATCCACATGGCAAAGACGATGATACTACACAAATTCCAAATTGGGTTATTGGGCAAGCAGATTCAAAACGCCAATTACGCCCGGGAGGATGAGCTGCGCCACTGGTTTTTAACCATCATCGAAACCGGCACGTTGGCGCCTCCTCCCAGATCGCAGGGCCGTAATCCTCGAACGAAAACCACGGTGCAAGATCATAACTGCACAGTAACAGCAGCAGATACGGTGGAAATACGCCGGCGGTTGCATCTGCCCAGCGGATACAGAACAGTTTCGCTTTGAAAATTGCTCACATACTGACTGATACAATAACTGTTCTGTTTCTTAACTTGACCACCTCAAGAAAAAATAAATTGACGTACGTGGACGTGTGTTCAAAAATAATTGAAAGAACCGTACAATTTCCAGTTTATGCCATAACTGGCGGTCGAAAATATTCCGTGAGATATTCTCGCGCGGTTTCTTCTTCTCTAAAACGTTTTGTACGTAGTTTTATTGCGCGGGGAAAAACTCTCGCGAGTAGTCAATACTCATAGCGCGAGATACTCTCGCGCGTAGCCATGACCATACAATAATACTGCGCAAAATAGCTGTCATGTATAATGACTAGTATCTTAAATATATTATTAATTATTTTCGCTCATTATCATCCGCCGATAAATCGCACCACATGTGCTGATTGCGCTGTTCTCTTAGTGCCCACTCAGCCTTCCCCCCTCCAACTGCGTAATAACGGGGAACATTAGGAAATTTCGGATTAGCCAACGTCTCATGCGGCAGTTGCCGGATATGTTTCCAGCTATGTTGCAGCAAAAGAGATGCAAGATTCCAGCGCATCCAAAAACGCGCGGCATACTTGAGCGCAGGCTAGGTGGAGATTATCTTCACTCCGTGTGATCTGTTTACTGAAATCGATTAAATGACAGACTTACTATCGTCATTACGTATAGAACGAACACAGTAATTTTGACCGGGAGAACAATGCTCTCCTATGATGGACAGCTGCATTTATTTCCAGCGAGTGATTAAAAAGCATCTTTATGGCGCAAAATTGTCCTACATATTATAATCTCATGTTGGAACTTTCTTTATAAGAAATTTTTGAGAGGTCCGCTTCACTTGCTGCCAGCCTGCCATTTGAAATTAAGATGATCACACAGTGTTGCTGGATGTGGCATTCTTTCAAATAGTTCGTTTTTCCGGTAATTGTCCATGCAGATTAGACTTGGACCACCTTTCAGTTACTGAAATTACTGTACTGAAAACTTTAGGCTGTAAATAAACGGTCATGGGCGCTGGCAACGAAACTCCTAATGTCACCAATGTCACAACTGTCCATGGAGACGCCGTGGCAACCCACGTGAACATTATTACAGCGGCTTTCGTTCTGATAATCACAGTCACCGTACTGTATAATACCGCAGTCATTCTCGTATTCCTCCGCGAACCGGCTGTTCGCAGTCCCTTTTCATTCTACCTCCTCATTCTCGCCGTATGCGATCTGTAATTGCCGGTCTTCAGTATGACCGGTTTTGTCTGGTTCGCCAGTTCGCCTGGCATCCGGACACCCCGTCGGCTTATTGTCCGTATTTCTCATTTTGCGATAGAATGTTTTTCACGGAAGTCAGTTATACCGTGGCGCTGATCGGGGTGGATCGGTTGTGGTGCTTATTATTTTATCTCTGTTCAGTAATCGTACAGATATAATGCCACGCATTCGGTGCGATTAACAGGATGGTTGCTGCTGGGAATGTGGGTATATTTACTGGGGCTCAATACTCCGCATATAGTTATGGATGCACTGTGGTATAACACGGGATCGACGCCGTGTACGGTGAGCTACGCGGCACAATACGAATTATTATCAATAAGCACAATTGGTTTCTCGCGCTTATGTAAATGTGCCTTACAGACGTTACAGTAGCCGATCGAACAAGTTGTACAGTGCATGTACGGAAAAAATTGCTAACGGACTTCGTGTGTACGGGCTGCATGAACATAATATCTTCGCATAATATTATTGAACGTACAGATTATCGGATAATTAATCACCGACACCCTCACAATGCGGGCACTGTTACTGACATCAAATGCCAGCAACCATGCGCGCATCGTACGATGTCGGTGATTAATTACTAGTATTGCCTTTATAATAAATAAATTTCATTATAAAGCCAATAAACTTTTTACCGCTTTCGGCACTACTGAGATACATTGATTTAATTTCCAGGTAGAAACACTACACAAGACGACATGAAAACAAACTGGGATAGTCACTGACCCCCGAGCAAGGTTTTGCCGCTTGTACAGTACATTGCCGGTAACGCGGCGTTAAACAGCGGAGTACATTTTGCTCTTAGTCTCGCTTGTGCGGATACTTAAGAAAGCGACGACCAAGTTTCTACCGAAACTAACTTTGTGCAGAAACCTTTTATCTTTAAGGAAATGTCGTGTGCAAACAGTGCAGTGTTCATCCTGGTCCTCAGTGTCATCGGTAAGAATAATCATAAACCGATAATTTATCATGCAAACATTATAGTTCGTAAATTACAGTAATTACAAATTAATGCGAGAAAATTTGGTACAGCTCCTTCAGCGCTATCCTCGGCGCAGTCGTGCACCGCACATTATCCGACACTGGCAGCGGCTCCGGGTGGTGACGATCCGTCTCAGGTTGGCCACTATACATTTTTGTCGCAATATTCCGTTTCCGTCTTGCAGTGTGGAACAGGATAGTGTCTTGCTGATTATTATCTCTTAAAGCGCAATCAAGTAAATTCTCAGTACATGCAAAGCGTACGCCTGTGCGAGTCAAAAACCGGTTTTCTGAGTGAAGACAAAAAAAATCTTAATTTATTGTATGAAATAAATGTTCGTCGGCTTTGCCATTGCAATGCTGGTCAGTTGGTTTACTGACCTCGCAGTTCGGCGGAATGCCTCGAACAACGTATACGTATTATACTTATCTACAGCAAATTTGGGCAGAATTACCATCTTTCTTAATAAAAGCGAGTGCTTTGGATTATTCATCCGCATTTAGGTGTCGATGCTCATGAATTTTAAAAAGCGTATTACGTTGGCAGACCGTTGGTACCTGGTATGTGTACCGGAAGAATGGCGAGGTGAGCATCAACAAGCGCATCACCGTGGTTAACCTCGGTGCCACCATCGAACCGCTGGCCAACTTGACGGCATACCAGCTGTATCTGCAAAGCGCCTGGACGACAGTGGCCAACAACGACATTTGTGAGAATGAAATCTGGACGGGGATCTACTTGATCAACGGCATGGAAATCGGCAATGATGTAGTATCCAGGGATGGATACAGCGTTAATCGTAGGTCACGTTTCCTCGAAGATTTCTCATTAATTTAAATGTGTATCGTCTCGCGACAGGTCTTGTGGGAAATTCGGTAATGTACCACGACTACCAGAAACTCATGATTGGGTACGGCTGTACCATACCGAAGATGGACGGGACTTGCGACACTCCGGTGATCTGGGTGGAGACCCGCACCCGGCCGGACAAACTCTCGGCCAGCGAGATGGCCGCGTTCGACGCCATCATCAACACCACATTGCAGCCGTACTGCGTCACGACCCAGGATCTGCCGCTCCAGGTGTACGATGACTCCAAGCCCAACTGTCCATCGGGCGATCCACCATTATGCATGTCAACCATTATCAAGGGAATCAACGCCAGTGTCCCATCCAGTAATACGGCCGGTGAGAATTGACCAAAGCCTGTGCTGTTTATTGTGAACGAGGCAACGTCACAAATGTTCGGTATTGTAGTAAAAACTCGCAGAATTTCGCTCGGTGCAGATGCCACATCTATTAACCTTAGTACTGCCTTAATTTTAATTTCGCTATTGAATTGGATTTGCAGCCCCAACCACTTCGCCGGCTTTAACGTACAGTTCCCCTGCGTCGACTTGTCAATGGCCGGTTTATATCGATCCGAAATTAACCTATGATCCGCAGACAGTAAGGTTCCACGGTCCTTGTTAACTTCAGCTTTCTTTATTCACTACATTTCCGAACATCGAATCGAGAAAACCTCGAAAGAATCAGTAATTGTGCAAAATGCGCAGGTCGCCGGTCTATGGTGGGTGTATCGCGCGGCCTTTGACGCCGAGCCGAACTCAGTGGGGATGCGGTACTTCTGGCATATCCTCGGCAGTGCTCCATTACCGCAGACCACCTTCAACGGCAACTATGTCTGGGCGGAGTATACACAGTACAATAATCCCAACGATACGCAGTGCAATTACGGCTACTGGACGGGCATGCTGGTCACCACCGGGCAGAACGTCGGCTTCCGCTTCATCACCAGCGACAGTGGCGACGGCATTGGTAAGACTTCACCTACAATTCTCAAAATATTTAGCTATCGCCAAATTTTACCACACCCTGTGATTTTTTGCTCAAAATCCGGAAGTTTACAGATAAAAATTTATGTTCATTATGCTAGAACAGTTATGTGCAAGCTTGACTGAAACAGCAGTTTCGTATCAAGCAAATGATATTAAATTTTGGGCAAATGATATTAAATTTTTTCATGCAGTTGATCTGCCGCTGCAACGGCAACCGACCCAAGGAAATCTTTTAAGATGTGGTTGGTAATTTTTAGTGCCGTTGCGTTCGATGACCATCTACCAAGACGACAAGTACGAATTCTTCTACGGCTGCTTCATCCCCAACATGCAGACACAGATCTGCGCGTCGCCCTTCGCCATGTTCAGCGCCCGTACCGACCCATCGACCTGGTCGCAGAGTGAGAAGGACCACGTGGACAACGACATCATCACCCCGCTGATCCAGAGTTTCGGCTGTGCCGCCAAGGAAATGCGCATCATGCCGCATCCCAGCGACAAGACCCAGTGTGAATGGAAGGGCGCGACGCCTTGTTTGAACCAGTTTATTGCTGGGTATAACGAGTTACTGCCCGCCGTACATAATGCACCTTATTAATACCGCACGTTCTTGCCAAGTGTATTTGGTATCTAAAAATGAATTTGATTGATAGAAATGATGGTAGAGTTAAACTAGCCAATTTCTGAAACAGATTCCTGCAATGTTCACTTAGCCTCTGCCATCGCTGTAGAGCTTCTACAAGTCACGTACATTTTGAGACTACGTTGTATATTTGGAAAATTACTTTGGAATAATTTCGTACATGAGCTTAGCGTGTGCAGCTTTGTATTTTCTTTGAATAGAGAACGTACATGGCAATAAACGTCCACAAACGTTATTTATTATGTTGCTCTACGCCCAGAGTAATGGCTGCTGTTTCACATAAACGCATGCCATTGTAGCCGCAAAAAGGAAATTACGACTGTGGTGTATGCAATGTTAACCCATTTCTGGCTTCACAAAAAGTAACGCCGCTGGCAGAACAGTGCAGCGGTTTGGATGATTGCTTGTATTGATTAGTTATCCACGAACTGTACGTCATCTGCAAAAAGGAAGGCCCGATCATACCGTATACACCAACGATTACGGGAGAAAGAAACCTGCCTGCGGTGCTTACCATTTCCGGTCACTTTCCAGGACGGCTTTCCCTTTGCGCCGCGCGAGTAATCGTAGTGTGTCTGTCCTCCAATGTACGTCTTCCCGGCATCCTTGTCAATGGACACACCGCGGCAGTTCCAGCCTTTCGCTTTGTCGTTGTTAAACACGCACGTGCCCAAGAATGTCTTCTTGCCCTTCGGCGCAGCTTTCAAAGTGTTGGCAAAGGCAAAGGCTTAAAAAAGGCAGCGCAGTATTATTCTATCCATAATAATTCTACTACCAAAGTGCAAATACAATTTATTATAGTAGAAAGTATAAATGATCAGTAGTACTTCAATATAATTAAAGAAAACATTTTGGCGCACCAAAATTTTCCTGTGATTTGACGTCCCATTTGCTGGTTACCGGGGAATCGCTGCACCTGTAGAAGAGGAGCGGGTCGATCTTGGTGTCAGAGGCGTACGACTGCGCCTGGTGCGTACGGTCCACACAGGACGTACTTGCACCACTGCTTGCCGTTACCACCTCTCTCGCTGTACGTACGTGTGCTGCTGCACTGCACTCATCCGCTGAAGCGGATATACGCAGCGCATACACTGAGCCACACTTGCTCTCTCGTTCCTCTCTCGCAGTATGACTCAGCGTTCATACGCTCGCGTTGGATTAGTCTGCGAGTCCAGTCTGCCGCATCACGCGACACGCCAGTTGCTTCTTTCAGCTTTTCGACTTGATTAGCCACTTGCATCACGGCTTTGTTCTTGCTTTCCTGCTATCACGCAGTATTGCTCCCCTTTATTTGTCAATAAAGCATCACTCGTTATCTCCTCGTGCTTGTCTGTTACATGGTAGCAGATTCTGGTTTTCGATCTACGGACCTTTGAGGAGACGGTGAAGGCTTCGAATTATGGAGAACTCGTGAGAACCTGAAAGTCACTGTCAGATTGATTACTGAAGTAATCTCTGCTCTGACTTCGATCGGACTGATCTTGCCGTCTTACAGCTGAGGAAAACGAGGATCACTGAAGTGATTCTCACCCAGCTGGTGAGCACAGTTTCTTCGTCTCTTCCACACTGAAGAGCATCCCAACAGCACGGACATTTTCTTCTCCCAACTGACGGATCAGACTCGAACGAGAGTCTGCAGCGCGAACGGATTAATCCAATAATACGGGGACCTTCGCTTTGAACAGCGACCCGCAACTTTACACGCGGATTTCAGCTCGGAAACGACGGATTTCCGACCTCGGACGGAGGAAATCGACCGGAACCGACACCGACACCGACACTGGTAAAGTCACGGTTATAGGTCGATTCTAGCCGCAACTAGGTCGGCTTTTCACTTTCTAACGGTAGAAAACGAATTCTATCCGTAAAATTTAACTTTTTAACGGATAAAAAGTAATTTCCGACGGAGAAACCGACTCGGAATTCTGCTTTTGGTCGAGAACCGACCTGCTAGGTCAACGAACCTGTCTAGACAGTTAGACAAAGGCTAACCGGCAACAGGTCGGAAATTCTCTTCATTTTGATTTCTAACGGTGTTTCGATCACCAGAAAATTTTCTTAATTAATAAAATTAATTTCTAACGGTTAAAAACTCGAAAATCCGACTAGATAAACTTTCTAGCCGACTAAAAATAATTTGTTTTTCTCGCGGAAAATAGCGCGAAAATTCTCGAACTTCCTTGTGACGTCATAACGACCGCTTATCAGTACTTAAGAAGCAGCCAATCAGAGTGCAGGGGAAAGTTCCCATAGCCTAACATAGGCGTGATTCATCGTTTTTTGTAAATTTTGCACGCGGCTCGCATTCTGTGACGTAGGCAGAAGTGCAAGACCACTTAACCTGTTACGTCACACTGGTCAGCACAGTAGTATAGGACGTACTACACCGTACTACTATAACGTACTGTACTGTACCATAGTACTGTATATTAACCCTGTGTACTGAGTCACCAACAGACACATCAACAACAACAACAACATCTCACCGGACGTTCCTGACACTCGGAAGTTCCTGAACCAAAAGACGTTCCCGATTCCATCGAACATCTTCACACAGAAGATTGTTCGATTTTCTCTTTCTAATTAATAAAACCTTTAAGGCTCCACCAGAGCCGACCTGATTCGACAACAATGTCGAATCCCAGAGAAAACGAATACGCGAGAAAGTTCAACACTGACTATTCTCGGCGTGCGAACATGACCGGGAAGTACTCACTCCGGTACGCCGGTCAGGACAAAAGTCAGCCGTCCTCAACCGACTCGACTAAGTCAGCCGAAGCGAAGGAGAGACGCAACGAACGGATTCTCCTCGCCGACTCGAATCCAACTTCGGATGACAGTCTTGAGGACGCCAGGGATAAAACATTCCTGGAAGCCCCAGCTGACGTAGCAGCCCCGTCCCACCCGACTGTGGGGGATGTGGAACAGCTGCAGGCAGAGACCACGTTGTCTCATGCCGACCAACAGTCGAGCTCACACAGAGCTCCAGACTCGGTAACGGTCACAAAGGCCACCGAGCCCGGACGGCAATCACCCAACAGGACGGAAGAAATGCCGAAGCCGACCTCGTCCAACATAGACATACCGACTAACCAAGTCGGACGGAAATCGCCGACCACACAGGTCGAGCGAAAATCTCCGACCAAAGAAGCCGGTGAACCATCACCGACTAGGGAAGTTGACCAACCGAAGGTCGACCTACCACTAACGAACGAGGTCGGACAACCGACCTCGAACGGAACGGAGAAACCGACAACAGAAGTCGGCACGTCCAACCGACCACACAGGTCGGAAGGATTTCGCCAAACTCAAGGTCGGACAACAGACGCCGACCACAGAGGTCGGAGAAAAGGAAGTCGGCAACAGGCAACCGACCAGCCTGGAACGGCAACCAGCCGACACAAAGTCGGATGCGGCCGTCCAGTCGACCAAACTACCGGCAGGAATGAAAGATTCCGAGGTACCGCCACGAAGCGGCCCTCACCCAGCTGGATCGCCGACTAGTATACCGGCACCCAATGAACGGGTAATTTCACCGTTGAGCCGACCTTCGCCAACCGGAAGCGAGTCGACTCGAGCAACCGAAGCTCAACAAACGGTGAAGTCGACTAAGGCGACACAAAGTCGACCTGTCGACCTGAGCCAAAGGTTGTCACCACCAATGTTCGGAACTGGCGAACTTGGTAGTACTCCGTCACCGACAAACGAAGTCTTTGAGGCAACAAACGCATCAAGACCGAGCAGTGCGGACGGATTCTTGACGACACCACCCAAGTCCGATAAGGAGAACCTCGGATACCAAGCCAGTGCACTCGAATACACGGCTAAGAAGTGGATCGCGGCAACACCGCCTGAAAAGATCACCGATCTCGACCTACTCCGAGCGAGATGCCATAAACTGATCACACAGATCGTTTTGGCGGACAAAATTGTCGACTCGGCAGAAGGATCCCTCCGAAACTCGGAGGACACCCATAAACTCGAACGGAGGAAATGGGAACGAGACATGGCCGATGCCAACAAGGGCATCGCCACCCAACAACGGGAGATCGACCGGCTAAACGCCATACTGAAGCGGGCTGACTTACCGTGTCGATACGAAGACGACCAAGTCGCCATACTAACCGGCATGCTGGAACGGTCAACCGCAGCCGTCTTCGAAATCAAGAAGGAGCTTGACGAAGCGAACAAAGCGCTCGAAGACGCACAGAAAGACCTGGCCGATGTTCAGACCGCACTGGTCGAGTCGGAACAGGCAGCAGGAGCGTTCCACCAGCAACTCAACCAGGCCAACGAAGAGGCCGAAGTCTATCGAAACGAAGTCGATAGATATGTGGTGGAACTTAAGAAGGCCGATAACGAGATCGACCGATTAACGCAACGAACCGACGAACTCGAGTCGGAAATGGAACTCCTCCTCGTCAGAACGGGACGTCGATTCATCGACGCGAACGCTCGGGACATGGGCTTTCCTAACCAAAGGACAGCCGATGTCGACCTGGTGGAAGCAAATGCTCAGCTAGCCGACCAGGTTCATGGACTGAACCAAGCCCTCAAGGAGGAACAGAAACTCCGAGCTCAACTGGAGTACAGCCTGAACGAAGCTCGAAAAGTAAACGAGGCGCAACACAGCCGCATCGTTTACCTGGAAGCTCGTGAAGTCGAACTATACGACTTCGGCGAACAAGCCGCCCGCAATCTCACAGAGATGATGCGGCAAATGGACGAGATGGACACGGAAACACGGTGTCTGAGGGAAGAGAAGAAGCACCTGGAACAAAGCCAGGTCGAACTTCCCCATACCGGGAACGAAGTCGGGTTGAACCTCCTTCATACCGGACGTCCACGGCACAGGATCAACAGCCGTCACGAACGATCAGTGACATCCTGTGGGGAATCAATCCAACCCAGCAAATGGCGGAGAAGGAGAACAGCACCTCCTACTTCGTCGGAGTCGTAACGACCGACCCAAGCGTGGGAACAAACCCACAACCACCAACAGTTCCGGCTGCTTCGGAACCGGAACACAATACGTCGACCGCGGTACCGCGTGTGCCAACGTCGAACGTGGCGACAACGACGTCTGCCGGTGCATATACCAGCACCTCGTACGCGACGCGGACAACAACGTACGCGCCGGTACCTAATGCGAGAGGAGGTCGGACAACAGATGCCGAACGTCTCCCAGTCCCGTCACTGAGACCGGGCATACAAGCATATCGCCCACCA